ATATTGGAAGATAAAAGTCCTGGTGTTTCCAAAGACCCAGTAGAAACATGCGATATTGCTCAATGTTACTCCAGTTGCTAATTAGACTAGAGAGGATCTCATGTTTAATTAACATAATTCTTTTTAAGATTGTCCACAGAATTTCTAGTTACGCTTAACCTTATCCTTCTCGCTATCGGTCACTGTCTCACTTGTGTTTCAGTGACTCCTGCTGTTCCATAAGCACTTTACCTGTCAAGACACAGGCCGCTGCTCATCCTCACGGACCTTCTTACTTGAGGGTGGCCAGCCGCTAATTCTGCAGGCTGGTGTATTCTTGATTTGAAAGGCAAATACCACTTCCTGGTATCAAAGCTGCAAATCAGTCACTTGAATTTTCTTCTGCATCATTAAGAAAAAATTTACAGCTGTCACAAGAAACAGGACAGCACTTTTACTTGCTGGTAGTCAACACTGCTTGTTCATTTGCAACGTGAACTTCCGTCATTTTCCAGGGAAGAGCTCTTAAGGAAGAAGCAACCCCTCCCCCTCTCCCTGCAAAGCTGCTCCTTGTGATTAAGATTTTGAAAACAAACAAGGATCTTTCAGTTGTGTCTTAAGTCTTCTTCAATAAGCATTGCGACTCTTTTTTTTGACCTTCTAAACCCTTCTTGCACATGCTCCTCCTTCCACTCCTGAATGGAAATCACTGCAACAATTCAGCAAAGCGTTGCAGTGAGAAGTAGGGTGGCTTAAGCATTCAGACTTGGGGGTGTGGAAGGATGTCAAATTAACACTCACAAAAATTGCTAGCAGTGAGGCTCTGGGACAACTGGGAAGGCAATTAGCACCTAGTATGGTTATTGCTGCTCAGGAGCGGCACTGGATACCACTTGCTTTGGCTGGTATAATAGTACTTTTCAGTCACTCCCTATCTTGGGATTTGGCAATTTTCATCATGATGACCCACAGGTGGACATTTTGACACTGGGTTAATAGCCACGGTCCTAACAGATGCGGAAGAAATCAGACCTCAACTGGCTGGTGTCTGGGAGCTAACCCAACAGCTAGGGAGTCTGTTCTCATCCAACAGCTGAATTAAGCTTCCTAGAAAGCTGGCCGTGACACAGCAGGACAGGATATGAAGGGCTTATCACTCGACAGAGCTAACCAGGAAGGCTTCTAGGGATCCCAGATGGTGCTCTTCAACAAATGAGCCTCAGAAAGCTTTGGCAAAGGAAATCCAACAGGAATGAGCCGCTTCAGGGGTGGGATAACTAGTCAAAGCAGTTCACGCTCCCAGAGAAAGCATGTGGCCAAACAGAAGGTCCCAGGTAAAGTAGCTTGAGAGGTTTCCACCTCTTGGAAGGGTGCAAATTCTCGGCTGCATTTACTTCTCAGTGTTAGACGCTGGTTTTACAAAAGTCCTGGTTTTATTGGTGTCTGTGCACTGCAGACGAGACCTAAGCTTGGATTAACATGGGACGTGTCATGTTTTTTGTATTGTCCTAAGCTGGCTGGTTTTGACTCCCATGTATGTCGGGAAGCAACAAGCCATATGGCCTCAGAGGAGCTGAGAAGATGGGTCCGGCTAACTCTGCAAGCAGCGCTTGCACAGAGTTCAGTGAGGGAATTTCACAGAATCATAAAATCACAGAATGGTTTGGGTTGGAAGGGACCTTAAAGACCATCTAGTTCCAACCCCCCTGCCATGGGCAGGGACACCTTCCACCAGACCAGGTTGCTCAAAGCCTCATCCAGCCTGGCCTTGAACACTTCCAGGGATGGGGCATCCACAGCTTCTCTGGGCAATCTGTTCCAGTGCCTCACCACCCTCTAATTTAGAAATTTAGAAACCTTCCCATGGCCTGATCCAGTGCTCACAGGAATCTGTGGAGCACAGCACAATATTTGGCTTTGCCATGATTTATTTCGTATAAGGAAGCATTATTCTTCCCTTATGAATAAAGGGAGAATTCGGGGGGTTTCTACCCACACCGGTTAAATGAACCCAGGAAGTACCATCAGAAAAATGCAGCATTATGAAGCACTCAGGAAGCTTGTAAATACTGAGGGTTTTATTTCCACTTCACATGGTCTCCAACAGACTCTTAGACAAGACCAGTTACAGTTTAGTATGCCCAGAGAGCTCCACGGTTTTCCCAAAATGAAGGGAGTTCTCAGTAAACGCTGTACATAGCCAGTTGAACTGCTAACAATAATTTAAAAACTCTTTTTGTATAGTCAATGCAAGAATACCAACAAGAAAAGTACAGTACAGGTAAATTCACAACAATGCTACAGTGAAACAGATCGACTCACATTTATGTGATGGCAGAAGTACAGTAGCAGTATGTACATGCACTAAAGTGCGAGGACCCCGAGGCATGCAAGTCAAGTATCGTAGGTGTATTTTACAGCTAACTCCAGAAGGCTTTCTGAGGCATTCTTTTTCTTACACTTTTTCTTGTGTTTACCTGTATTCCCCTCCATCTGAAACCATACAAGTCTAGTGAACTAGCTTAATGGCTTTCTTCACTACTTAAAAGGTATCGCTTCAGACAGTTGAAGCATCTTTAAGAACCTTACTTTTAAAAAACGATAACACTGACATTAAAATAGAATAAAATTAACTTAAGACCCTAGGTTTACACAAAATAAAATAAAAATAGTAAAAAAAAAAAACCCAACAAACCAACAGAAATCCCAAAACCAAAATCGAAAACGTAACAGTGCAAATATAACCAAAAGGCAGTCAGTATTTGGAGAGAGCGCGAGCACATATTCAAATTCCCTTAAAACTTAATTTACATTTTATTTTAAATCTTACTGTATATCATTTTTACCCTTTTTTTGTTTGGTTTTTTTTTTTCTGTTAATATACTGTTTGTAAAAAAGATGGAGACAAAAATAGTTTTCTCAGCTATGAAAAAAATTAAGTTATTACAGGCACATTAACTGTTTCATTCTAGAAACACCTCTGTTTCCCGGGTCGGACATTCAGCAGCTGTGAACATTCCTTGACCTCTCCAAGAGGACCTCTCTCCTTCGCGGCAGAGACGGCTGGCGGGTGACCTGGCGGAGGCGAGTGGCAGCCTCCTCCCCGCCCCGTTCCCGTGTGGCATTAGGCCGGCTCGCCTCCCTGGCCGGGGGTCTCTGCCGGCGGCTCCTTGCTTCCGCTCTCCTCCGAGGAAGTCAGGTCTCCGGTGGACTGCGACTGTGAGGCAGTAGGGGAGTGTGAAGCCCATCGCGACGGTGGGCGCCGGTTTGCTGGTCTCTCTGGCCGGGAGAAGCAGGGTTGGAGGGACGGGGCTAGTGCAGAACAAGGTAGTTCCTTGGCAGCCAAGAAAGCAAAACAGCGGTTAGTGACTTGCATTAGAGGCTGTCTGGATGCCCAAAGAATTAAGAAGCAAAAGGAAAAAAAAAACAATTCCAACCAAAGCTAAGCATCTGTCATGTCGCGGGAGAAAAGCAAGCGCGGCCATCAGACTGTCTGTGGGCTCCGGGTGTCTGCCTGTATGTCAGTGACTCATGGAACAGGTAAGGACAGAATGAAAGAAGGAGTCCTGGGATGAGCTGGAGTAGCTGACAAACTTCCATTTGCTCATTCTCCTTGTGCTAGAAAGGGAAGAGCTGAAAAGTACATTTGCATGATAATTCAGGAAAATCCACTATTCACCACTTGGGCCTACCTGCTGACCTGGTATAAAAGCGCCAGGTTTGGCATTTGCAAGTGGGGCAAAAATCAACCACCGGCTCCTTTTGTCGGCTTCAGAGCTCAGAATAATGACTACAGGACTAGTTATGGTCTCCAGCTGCGTTAAAGATGAGGCTTACCTACAGATTTCATCTTCTGGAACGTCACTCCTTACTGCCAGCAGCTAAAGCTGGAATTACAGGATTCAGTGGTATTGTACATTAAAGATGAAATTCACAGAAATGAAAAAAACCCTCTGACCTTCTCCTTCTCTGTCACCTTGCCAATGCTCAGGCTTGGTAGCCTGCCTTTGCGATTTGAAACAGTGTGCAGTTGTATTTTTCACCCTCACATAAGTGGGTAATTGCTTCTAATACTTATGGCCCATGCTCATAGCACAACTAGGCTTCCTGGCTCGCTCTGAACGCTCCTTACATCAAGATGGGTGATTGTGGGAGCAAGTCTCGTAGTGCCAAAGCCAAACTTCTGAATTTCATCGCATGCTTTTTAACTTACAAAAGCAAATCAGAGGAGTTTGTCAACCTACAGAAATGTGTACACTGAGGAGCAGTCACTGGAGAGGACAGGAGAGGTCAGTAAGACCCGGTCTCAAAATCAGAACGCAAACTGGTGATAAATGAAGAGAGAGAGAGAGCAGAAACGATACAAGGCAAGGGAAAAGCTCTTGCACGGTAAGGGAAGGGGAAACCAAGGCAGCAGTAGAACAATGCAGTAGGAAGCAAAGGAGGAGGAGAAACGTGACCAAGGATGGAGAATATTGGAGTAGGTAACATGATGTGATTGGCAGTGAACAAACAAGGTGATATGCCATTGAACCTCTCCGTTGCAGTGGGAGGACCAAACATGAATGTTACATGCCAGAAAGACCAATTTCGAAGACACGGAGCTGAGGTATGGGAAATGGAGCTTGTGTAGGTGCATGTTTTGGGAAGAGTGCGTTGTCAGACTTGGGGAGGGTGAACCTCAGTGCCTGTGGGCAGTACGCAGACAACAGGGTGATCCACAGTCACACATCACCCCAGGCAGAGCTGTGCTCATCTGCCCTCAGCGTTTGCAGAGAGCGAGACCAGCGAGCCATTGCAGAAGTGGTCTGGGGGCTGTGGAGCCCAGGCCTGCACCGCTGCCTCTCTGTGCCCTCGCCCCGTCTCGTAGGCTTCACAACAACCCTTGCTAAAACAACAGTAAGGCTAAAACATGGATCGGTGCTGTCAAGAAGACTGACTCTGTGTCCTTACTTCACCTTATCCCGTTGTGCCTGGGGCAACATATGGTCTGTGAAAGCTGCCACTAGACCCGGATTTGTTAAGAGCAATCCGTATGCACAGCAGCACTCGCAGGCAGCGCAGCACAGGGAATTGAGGCTGTGAGATTTGCTGGCTTTGTCTTAGCCTCTTTCTACACAGCAGCTTAGAATGGTATCTCTAGAGCGCTGCTTGCTTCTGGCTGTTTTATCCTAGTTTATAGCAGTAAATGGGAGTCAGCATGGCGAGAATAACGTTTATTTCCACTGCTGCCTCCCAGTCCAAAAGCCTCTCTCCAGTCTGCCCACAGATGTGGGTCAGCTTTTACTCAAGGGCAGAGCTAAGCTCATCTGATCTGTGATGTACACATGCCCAGCACCACACAAAGCTGTGCCAGGGATTGGTGTTGCTCTGGGGCCAACAAATGACCGGCAACGTAATCACACAACCTGCTGGCTGCTGAGTCAGTCAGCCCCACCCTCAGTGTGGCTTCCTCGGCTAAGGAAATCCAGCCGTGACAAACTGTCCGGAATAGTTTGTGAAACCCCCTCCTCGCTTACCACGCGTAGCTGTCATAGCTAGAAAGGTTTTAATAAAATTATTACCACGTGGGTAATTTAGTCTGAGGGTTGCCTGGGGACATGGGTGGAGAGGCAGCACTTCTTAGCCCCAACGTTGAAAACGAGAAAGATAATTTCAGCTTTAGTTTCTAGCTATGTCCTAAGCCAGGATGTCAGCCACTGTGTCCAGGCCTATATTAATACATAAATAAACCCGTTTTCTGGTTCTGAGGGGGAGTAGACGGTCACAGCTCATGTCTGCACGGATTTTTCTCCCCCTCCGCTGCAGCAACCCCAGCCACTGGCCAAAACTGAGCCAGGAACAGCTGAATGAGCAGAGGTGACCATCAGCCATGGGCTGGTGCTGAAGCCCCCTCCCCAGCCCATCTTATAAAGCTGAATCCCTCCCCAACATTTTTGCATACCTTTATGTTGGCCTTAAATTTTGCCAAGTTTTAAAAGTTTAACAAAAAACCCCAACAGCACAGATTTTGACTTAAGGGTGACCTCTCCATAGCCCGTGCTGCCACAGGAGATGGCAGACGGGCTCCTATCCTGGGTGCTCCCTGACAGTCGCATCCGAAGGACCCCACAGGGGTGTTGGGTGCGCGCCGATACTTCTGGAGCTGTGGCCATTTATTTCCTTTCGTTAACTCACGCATTCAAAAATGACCGCTTTCGGAAAGGTCTGGAAACAAGGTAGAAAGGACTTACAGCAGTGAGGCAGGCAGGGTTAGAGTCCCCAGGGGGCAGTTAATAAGACAGTTTGGTTCTGGACAGAACAGACAGAAAAGAAAAAGAAAGCAAGTAGGTTGGAAAGAACTGTTTTAATCAATTATTTTTTTTTAAAGTGAAGGTTTCATGTCAGCAAGGAAGACGTCTCCAGGTATTACTACCCACTCAGATCATGTTACCGCTGTTATCACAGGGGAACTAATAATCAAAAATAAGAGATAAGCCACTAGCAGAAAAAGATTTAGAAAGGAAGGAAGTAAACAAACCAACCTTTACAATCCTAGCACAATCTCAGAAGTGGACATAGCATTAAACAAACCAAACATTTCCACTCAGCAAAGACATCTCATCCTTTGCCAACCTTGATTAGGGCTACAGAAAAACCATATTGCTATGAAAGATGAGTAAAGCTGTACTTTTTTTTTTCCTTTGTTTGATTTCAAGAGAGAATTTCTGCTTAGGAAATCTTTAATAAGTGAAAAAGAGACAGGTGTTTTCTGTTGCTCGTGTTTCTCATGTTGCTCATGCTTATGTTGTTCAGGTTTCATGAAAGCCCTTTGCCGCATCCTTCTCCCCTGTTCCTATTCAACAGCGACGCTGGATGGGAGGCTCAAGCTAAAGCAAAGCACCTTTCCTTTTCACACCATCCCCTCTTTTTACCATCCCCCTTCCATGCTAAACAGTTCAGCGGCAAGTGTGCGGCAATTGCTCCGCCTTCGCGAGCAGCAGCTGCCCTCTCCTTGATGCCTCTCTGGGGATGGTCCTTTCCCCGTGCTGTCTCCAGAAATGAGCCTGACCCACCATCCAGGACTGTTGTGTAACCTCCATGATTTACACCCTTGCTAGTCATAAAATGTTCATCCAGCTCTTACATTGTTAGGTAATGCCACTCTGCATTTTTAATAGTAATATTTATAAATCCCATGATATGCAAGTAAGAGTGGTTTAGTGAATTAGCAAGATAAGACACGAGTAGGCTGCTCTGTGTGGGTATGAATTTGCTTATAAGCACCTCTGGGAAGGTTAGAAAATACAAAGTTATTAGCACTCTGTATGCTTATAGGCTCACATGCACACATACGTATGTACGTAAATAATATATATGAATAGCAGGAATTTAAAAGGAAGCTACGTAACTGAACCACTCGGAAGCTCGAATGAAAGAAAAGCCACCAACAGGTGTTCCATGCAAGGCTAAAAGTCATTCCTATACCATGCCATGACTGCAGAAACAAGAAGGCTTTCGGTGGTAAGAAGGTCACTTGTCTTGGCCAGAAACCAGCAGGTGAGGGAGAAGCAGAGCAGGAATTTAGGAATTTAAAAGGAAGCTACGTAACTGAACCACTCGGAAGCTCGAATGAAAGAAAAGCCACCAACAGGTGTTCCATGCAAGGCTAAAAGTCATTCCTATACCATGCCATGACTGCAGAAACAAGAAGGCTTTCGGTGGTAAGAAGGTCACTTGTCTTGGCCAGAAACCAGCAGGTGAGGGAGAAGCAGAGCAGGAATTTAAGGGAGGGTGGCAGGGGCAGCACTGACATGACACTGCCCCAAGCACAGCCTGCCTCCTTCAAGATCATTTGCTGAACTGCTGTGTCTGGCTTTGTACAAAATGTGCTAAGTGGAATTTGTACAAAGTGGAATTTGTGCGGTCAGTGTAATCCATAAATAACCCAAGGCATCTGCAGAGTCTAAACTCAATTGCGGTTTTGTTTTCAGCAGTGAATCCATGCTCCTTTAAGTACATCATGTAGAACACCATCTCACCTAGGAAAAGCTAGTTCATCGTGTGAACACCCACCACCTTCCTTTTCAATGCACATTCCCGAGAAATTACAGGACCATCCAAAAATCATAACCTGTGCATCTGGCCAACAGTCATAACAACCGAGTAAGGAGCTGCAAGGAAAACCAAATCTCAGCTCTGAGGCTTAGAACTCAAAAAATCAGGCAAAAGAAACTGAAATTCACAAAAAGAAGCAATTTTCTGCCAGGTTGATGGCCAATGAGTTTTTGCTATACAGCATTAACCCAAATGTCTCCCTGCATCAAACTTAGGTACTGACACTAGTTGCTTTTTGCCAGCAGCCATTTGTGATGATGTGGAATGACATCTGTTCACTTATACTTGAAAACTGCTGAGACATTTACAAGACGCAGTTTTTTTTGCCTTGAAGGCAAAGCTGGGTTGAACCTTTAAGAGTACAATGCTCTGTATTAGAAAGACCAGTAGTGCATTTCCAGTATTTCAAACTCAGGACAGAATACAGAGCTATCTAGAAAGAGTCAAATAAATGAGTTTGCTTTCCATTTCTATTCACTCTGAGGTTTGTGCACAAAGCCTGCTTTTCATTCACTTTCATTCATTTCTTTCATTATATAGTGCACGTGGTTTCTTTTTTACATGTACAAACTTCCCTATTCCCTATTTAAACTGCATATAGGGAATATATCCTCAGCTTTGGATCCTCTGTTAGGCAAAAAGGATCACATCCTCTGAGCAGTTCCTCCAGCAGAAACCCCAGTTGTCCATTGAGAACCACCCACTACTGCAAGTCAACCTGCAGGCCAAAAGTCTCAGTGCTCAGGTCCCCACAGATCTTCAAGCCACATGTTGAGTTAGGAAATGGGTTTTGAGCCTCCCCTTGAAGCTATCCGAGGCAGGAGTGGTAGAACTCAGCCTGGTGAGACCAAGGTGGCATATCTGGGGTGCGCAGGGGACAAGGAGGAGCTGCTGCCCTGCAGCTGGGGCCCACTGAAACATCAGGATGCTAAAGGGGCAGGGGCACAGGGCAGGGAAGATGATGGGGAGCATCCCCAACCAGCAGAGAACATGCCATCTCAGTGCTGTCCCAGAAAGACAACACGCGCTGGGAAGAGCTGGGCATAACTCACCTTCTCCTGGACCCCTCAGGGCAACACTTTCACGTGCACAAAGGTTCACCAGAAACAGAAGGCTTAGACACTGATACCTGAAAGCTTTTGTCCATCATTACACCCTCTTTTGTGTTGATCGCTCTAGCACATTACTGCACCTGACCCCCAGTACCTGGACATCCTTGCTGAGACAGGTGATGACCGTTGCACTGTTGGCAGCAAATTATCAATAAAGAGTTCTTAAACACTAAGTAGGTATGTGTTTAGACTAGTTGATTAACCATTTTTTCCCTCCTTTTTCTTATTTTTGTGATGCAGCAACAGTGGGTACCAAAAGTCATGCCATTTAATCACATTCACAGACCCGAGCCAAACTTAACCAGATACATCCAGAAAAGGTACGCCGAAGGCCCTGAAGTTTTAGTTCAGGGCTGTTTGGTTTAGAGGCTGTTTTTCACACAAACTTAACACCCATTCTTGTGTAGGAGAAAGTGTCTACCTTTCCATCCAGCATAAAAGAGAAATTTACTCAAACCTAGAGTCCCTAGCGCATCTGTAACACGTGGTGCGTTTTGTGTCAGAAAACCCTTATCCCAGACATTCAGGGGAGAACCGTTTTTATCCTATAAAGGCATCTTTATCCTGTAAAGGATAAAGCTCTTCTGATGCTTTCAAGCCTGATAAGCTGTCAGGATAGAAACTCAATTCTTTAACGAGTTCTTCAGTGACTAATCCAATAGTTTCACGACTGGGACTCGCTGGTGGTACCATGACAGGACAAGGATATTCCTTGTAAATACTCACTAGGCCTGCAAGAGATCTCACAATGCATTTGTTCAAAGAAGAGTACATTTAGCTATAGGGGGAAAAACAAACAAACTCATTACCTCTATGGACCCTGGATCTACTTTGACAATTTCTCCTGTGCTGTTGTCATTGCTAAGATTTGGTGGGCTGTGTGAAGGTAGCCTTCTCTCTTCCTTTAAGGCATGCTCCAAAAGTTTCTTATTCAAGATCCTGGCAGCATTTTCTGTAAGTGTGTAACCTGGAGGGGCAGATAAGTCCTGCCTGATACTTGTCACCTCTGTCCCTTCTTCCTTTTGCGGCTCTGTCCCCAACCGGAGAGGACTGGGTGATCTGCCACGGGCATTTGTACATGGCTCCTGCAATGGGCCCAGTTCTGGTCTGGGTTCTGCTGACCGGGACCGGCTGCTAGATTTGGGGCATTTTTGGAAGGTCTCATGAAAGATGGGGCTGTGGTCAATAATGTTGAACAAACTGGAGAGGCCGTCATTGATGGTGGTGTGGACAGGACTCTCCCTTGTCGTAGTTGATCTAGCCCAAGCAGACTCGCTGAATCCTTTCTGAGGTGTGCCAGGCAAAGTCCGGTTATTTGGCTGGTCTGATTTGGGAAGGATTTTTCTTTGCAACTTTGGAGAGCCGTATTTGGGGGAGCAGCATGTGCGTTCAAACTTAGCCTGGACCTTTTCAATGACGGGGGTCACTTGCCTGCTTCTTAGGCTTCTGGATGGTGAAGAGACAGGCGTGGACCCCCCCTTTGGTGTCAGACACTTGTGTGGACTGCTGGTGATACTGCGCAGGGTCTCCGTCTGCAAGCCAACGCTGATCGTCTGGGTGGTCTGCGTCCCTGTCGTCCTCATACCGTTGGTTTGACACGCGGTGTCCTTAAACTGAGGCTCCGTTGAATTAGAGCGTATTGCGTTTCGGACAGAGAAAGCGACCTCCTTCATGTCGTCACTCATGTTTTTGGACATCTCCAAGCTGTGCAAGGGTGAGGCAAAGCCCACAGTAGTGCAAATAGGACGTTCAATGGGATGAAGACCACTCTCCAGAAAATCCTTATGATGTTTGGCCAGGTCACAAGACCACCTTCCAAACATATCTGAGGAAGCACCTTTTGGCTCAGCGACATTCCCCATAGCTTTGGTCACAGAAAACAGGAAGTCTGGCTCAACCTGGTTTTTCCCTTCGCTGCCAGCTATCACCGAGTTATCAAACCTGCGAACAACCGGTGGGCTGTGAAAGACCCGCACTCCCATTTTTTCGCTTACACCGTGACTCCTCATTGGCTGCTTTTGGCAGTGCTCTGGACTGGTCATGGTGTTAGTCGTCATAGTGACACTGGTGGTGAGGTACCATGATGATGCCTGGAAGGGATCTGAAGCAGGTTCATTCCCAGCTTTCCCAATTTCTGTCCTTTCCGCCCAGCCTTCTGCAGGCTTCTCAGTGGCCCCATCATGGTTCCTAGTGTTACTGTAATCCCAATTTTTGTTGAACTCCTCGATGTATTTCAGATCATCAGGAGACAGGGGAGGGGTTATGTCATCTTTGCTGCTGGATAAAGGCAAGTTTTTTTCTGGTAGAAACGGAGAAATATCCATCAAGCGCTGAAATTCTGACATGGAAGAAACAGACATTGCCCTGGAGAGGAGAACACGAGAGTCAGTCATAGGCTTGGAAACTCTCACAGAATAACTTATATTGAGCAGCAAACTAACTGAGGAAACCAAATTTTCACAATCTGCTTATATATAAAACCACTTTAGCCTTCTCTTCATTAAAGTTCCCTTTTATTACCTTTAAAATAGCTGCAAGTGTCCCTCGTGTCATTAAAAGTATCAAATGGTTTATTAACGGGTCTTAATCTACTGCTTTCTCATGGATTACTGTTTGGCAAATGTCTGAAATATGGAGCAGTAGAATGCATTTCAGAAATACACCATTCACAGAAAATGAGTGTTTGCAACAATATGAGGCACGCTTTTCAAAGCAAGTGTGGAGTATTTCTGACTTGCTGGGGAATCAGCAAGCCCATCCCCGCTCCTGAGATCGCCCAGGCTGTACAGCTGGTGCGTAGCGATGTGGGACATCCAGCCTACATGCTGGATGTTACACTGAACTGGCTTGGCGAGTTGAGCTCAACTGAGTTGAGCTCCGTTCAACCAAAGGGAATTGCTATGTGATAATGCTGAATTTTTGGCTTTCCCACATTTTGCTAGTCTGTACAAATTACAGGCATTCAGCTGAGTTGTCCTACTGCTTTCTTTTAAGAAAAAGTTAAACAAATAAAGAAGTTTTCTGAATGGAACTACTTAAAAATTAAAATGAGTGTAGTTATCAGAGCCGGCTCAATGAGGTAACTCAAGGTGGGTGAGGATTCAGCAAGCAGTGGGTTTTATCTATCAGTGATCTGGAGGATCCAGTAAAACCACACTGTGAGTTTTTAATCAAGAGCACCAGCTGCAGTTAGGGTGCCTGGATGTTAGGGAGTTAGGTGAGATCAGGAGTGTGGTTTTGAAGTGGATCTCCTATTCAGAGGCACTTGTTTGCATCAGGAAGGCACGTGCTGGGTTCCTTTGGGCTGAAAGCGAGCTGGAAGGTGGTCTCCAGAAGCACAGCTAATGCACTCTAGGGTTAGGTGGGTATTCATCCCATGGGATCAGACCATGGGCAGACCATGATCAGACCATGGGATCTAGTCCAGAGCAAAACATCACTGACACACAGGCATGTCAGGTCCTCTGCACTGTTTTCCTCTATATATCAATACCTACAGGTCTGCGCTACTTGCTAAGGAAGGTGCAGCCTTCAGTTTGAGCTGCAGCTTCATGGACTTTCATAGAGTTTGATCTTTGCTCACCACAGCTGAATGTGGCCCTAGTTAATCAAAGCAGAACAGAAGCATATTGAGACAAATTAATCCCTGGGTAAGTCTATTAATCTGGCTCACAGGCTGCTTAGGAGGTGGCTCAGCTATGCCCCTATGTCTGTGGTTTGGGCACTAGTGAGCTATAGCTGTGGCAGCTGAATATTTGCTGGGTTTTCCCTGCAAGTTTTACTCACCTTTGAAGATTTCCTTTGTGTGTTTCTTCCTCCTGAAGAAAAAAAGAAACAAATAGGGTAAGTTATTTTGGAACCTGTTGGCGGCATTAGCTCGTGGGTATTTTGTCATTCAGTTCCCATTAGTTACCCCAGGTATGTTTGTCTCTAAAAAGTGGCTGAATTCCCTCTGAGAAGGCATCTTCAATTGCCAGCGGGAATAATTCTTTCCTTTCTACACAGGCAGCAGAATAGGCGATCCCATTAGGACAACAGGCTGCAGAAGGAAAGCCCATATGGCAAATCTGCAGCATCCTCGAATTTTCATAGTCCCATGCAATCACAAATGGAAGGAAGCTGCAAATATCCTTTTTTTCCCATGTGCACCATATATTGTTTTGGAGCATGTATTTGTAAAGTGAATTTGTTGTGTGGAGGTAATCTTAGGCCAGAGACCTAGCTGTGCTGAAATAAAGATAAACCAGGGTCCTTTGACAGAAGATTTCATTATATGTTCTCTAGGAACCCACAAATGGCACCAGTTGAAACTCATTAAGCTCGCTGTATTAAATGCGTGGGAAGCCTATTACTTGTTTCATGGGGGGAATACCTACAGCTCACTAACGGCATTAACATGTTTTTACGGCAATTATTTCCCTGTGACAATTCTCATAATGAGTTGGTTTTTTTAAATAGATGCTTCTGAAGCAATTGCTCTGCATTTATCATTTTAACGGTTTGCTTATATTTCTAATAAACTATAGGGAACACAAAATATGATCAGGAAAAAAGGAGTATTAGTACCTATTACTTCTATTTGACCTCATGAAATCAAGAACCTTACCAACACAGAAGTGTATTTCAAATTGTGACTATTCAAAAAGAGCACCGCTTAACTCAGCAAATACCTTTCTGGTATTTATCCTGAGTCAGGGGAAAAAGAGGACTAAACTGAGCCTCCTTGCATTCACTCTGGTGAAAGTCTGGAGTAACGTTGGTGGCTTCAGTGGAGTTACTGCAGAATAAATCTGATCTAACTGCATGGAGAATCAGGTTGAAAGCTGGATTGACTTTGACTGCACATAGCACCACAAAGTACAGTGGAAAGGAACAGCTAGCAGGCTGCAGCTGCCTCTGTGCATCCCCAGTTAAGCTATTCATTAAACTCCAATCAGCCTCGCTTCAGCAAAGCCTCTGAGGGGAAATGACTTTGCCCAGGTTTCACTAAAGCATGCTTTGAAGGAAAGGAGCTATGCAGATATCACCAAGGACCAAATTCTGCTGCCAACACTTGTTAACGGTGCTAATGTCTGAAAAACAGAAAAGGGAAGAGACATCTCCCTTCTTAAATATCAGACTGAATTTGAAGGAAAGAAAACAGCAATCAAAATTAAACACAACACATAGATGCCTGACACTGGTACCAACATTATTCACTGAGCACTCGGACATGTATGAAAAAAAAGTGGTAAATATGGGATCCCACACTGCCGGCCATACCTTTATGGCACCGAGGGAGGAAAACGTAACTGGAACACACAGGTACCTACAGCTACTCAAAATGTAAGAAGAGCGGCGCTCTTAATGTTTTTTTTCCTGTTCTTCCTCTCAAAGAACTTGATTTCCCAATCCTTCAGCTGAGTAACAATGTACATCTCAAAGAAATGCTTGGGTCAGGTTTTCGCAGGTGCACATGTTCAAGTCCAGGCACAGCAGTGAACCTGGTCCTGCAGGGAGCTTGAGACCTGACCTGTTGGCAAACTCTTTTCCAGAGCAGTCAAAGTTTCAAGCCAGAGTAGACAGATACACCTCTGGCTGGGAAGCTTCTACTTCTCTCTTCGCTATAAAGTGTACCCTCAACCAGTATTTACGGGCTCAAAGCACAAGCCGACTGTCTATCCCATGTGCACAAATCTGAATTTTCAGACGAGAAGAAAGTGTTCTAAAGTTGCACCATGCAACATGCTGCCTGCTTGATAATTTTAGCTTCCGGCAGTCTCTGAACGATGCTTGTTCTGTAACAGCTGCTTACATTCAAGGAACAATAGAAAATAAAGGAGATATTAGCATTTTGAAGTTCTAATGTGGTTTTAATTTCACAGGAACCGTTAAAGTGTATAGTTGTGGTTAGGTGTGAACATTCTCAGTGCCACTAATACCATACGCCAGTTCACAGGCTATTTTATACCAGCATATGGGGATGGGGATCCTGGGTTTCATTCGGCAACAACATAAACAAAACCATGAAGACCTGGTGAAAGCAAGCCTGCAGTGGTGCAGATTTTAGCAGGACACAGACTACATTCACCATGGCCCAGTGGCATCTCTCAGCACTGCATTTTACATCTTTATAGCTTTACGGTGTGATCTCAGGGTAGGTACTTTGCTGATGAAGAACAACTTTATTTTTTAAACATCTCATCTCACTTAGTCGTGCTAATCTATTTAGATAGCAACCACAATGGAACAACCAGAAGTACCTCTCTACAGCACTTAGCGCTTTACTAATGAAATATAGCCTGTGTTTCTTCATACATATGTATCTACTTACAACTGGAAGAGATTTAAGACCTTCTAAAACAGTATGTTGTGTCAAATATAGTTATCATCTATAACACAAATGGCCACGAGGTGAGGTAATCTTTGGGACCCTTAGGCTGGCTCCCAGTTTCTCAGGTGATTGACACAGGTCTAATCATCTTGTCCATACCAGATTCACACTGGGTAACTGAAAGCTGTGCCTGTGACACCGTATCTCACTCCCTACAGCAGGGACGCTGTACCAATTCTGACACAGGAGACACCACGCCAGCTTGATAAAAGGTAGAAGAGCACATACTTCCGTTAATCCGGTCAGGAATTTCTCCCGCTCATGCTGCTGAGACCGGTGCTCATCAGACTCGTCAGGGGAATCAAGAGACAGTGATTCCAGAAAGAGGTTTTCTGTGGCACTGCATCGGTCGCTCTCCTTCAGCTTGGACAGTGACCGATCGTCAAACTGAATGGCATCTGAATCAGAGTAGGATCTTGACCCCATCGGACGAGACACGTGAAGGTTCCCCTGGGCCGTAAATGAACGAAGGTTACTCTCCTTCTGGTCACACAGAAAACCACCTCCTCTTCGTGGGCTCACTTCTTTCTGAAGCTGGAGACAAGGCAAATTACAAGGAACAGCAATTACTGAGGTAGCGTATGGCATTCTGCAGAACCCATCCTTCCCCAGGAGCGAGGCACCTGTGCCCTGGGGAGGCACCACAAGATCACTGCCTGGCTCCAGGGATGCCTGTTTGCTGTAGTGGTCCTTCCTCAAAGGGAGAGGTCTCTAGGACTTTGATGCTATTACTCATGGGATTTTGAATGATTAAATATGCATATGTACAGTTTTGCTTGTTTACACATATATATGCATACATATAGACACACTGTGTGTATAAATACACAAAATAATCCATCTGTTTGTAATCTGATTTTTAAGGAAACAAATCAACACTGTTATTTAAAAGCAATCTTGATATGAGATCCTAAAGCAATGCAAGTAGAAGCTCAAGGAAGGGTGAGTGACTTGGAGTCTCATAAAAACAAATGCATTTTTGTTCTAGCCTGCAATATAAAGGTTGCACTTTTATGTACATCTCTTTTCCAGAGGTGGAAAATTCCACTTAACAAAAGACAAAGGCTCTATTTTATAGATGGTCTAGCCCTAATGCATGGCTAGGAAGTTGGCTATTTGTACTGAACAGCATTGTAACAGGGATGAATTAGGCATGCAAAGCATGTTTGAAGAAAATGCATATGCATAGAAGGGCCATCAAAGCTATTAACTCTACATTTTGCAAAAAGTGGGCAAAGAGAGGGTGAACCACTAATGAAATTGCCAATCTTAAAATTAGATTATGCAATCAACTTCTCTTTTAATTGTAAACACAACAGGATAGATGAAGTAAGTGATATTTTCAAACATGCAGGAATCTGATAAGTAACTGATGTTTTGCTACAGCACCGTGCTAAGATTAGTGACAATACCCTGCAAATGCAAGTCTCCTATGACCCTGGAGACTGAGTACCTTCAAAACATTATTTTAACCTTGTTGCATGTGCTTGGAAAAATAAACAGACATTGTATTGCCTAATGTGGATTAAAAACTAGGTCCCAAATAATTAAATTTGCACTTGGACTGAAATCAGTGAGATTTTTGCTTGATTCAGGTCTATAAAATGGAGAATTCATCTTCAGTGATTTGCTCATGATATACAAAATCTGAAAGAGATTTATTAAAAAGAGCTAATGTAAAGTATCCTATAAAGGCAGGGGCTGGAAGATACATCCCAAGAGATCCTGGAGTCCATTCCCCAGCATATGGGCAAGACCCAAAGCAAGAAGAAATGGCAATCACATGTTTTCTGTACATGTAGTTTCAATTGCAAGCCCTTCCAGGTTTTCAGAGGTCCTACTAAGGCTAATGATGTGGGAACCTTTATGAGAAAACACTACAGATACTGTCTCACTCTCTGACAGCTGACAGGAGAATTCAAGTGAGGCATGCTGGCCTAACTTTTCAAGAGTGACTAATGATTTTGAATCCCGGTGTGTTTATACCTTTAAACACACAACTTTTCATACAGGTGACTTTGTGGGTTTAAATATTTGCCAGTGAGCTCTGTGCACAATTAGCTTTAGGAGCACAGTGGAGGGAGATTCTCTCAGGGGAAACAAAGTGACAGTGTACTTAAAAAGAAAAAACCCACAACTTTGATCTCTGGAAAAAGTAGGTCATCATGTTTTTTATATGCAAGCAGTATTCCCATAACCATCCAGAGTGAAGTATTTTATATAGTTTACACATTGGTGTGAGCTTCCCCCTAATCATACATGTATTATTCAGGAGCACTGTGAAAGCAGACAGGCATAAAGCATTACTATGAAATTTGGCACACAGGCTTCTGCTATCTCTTAGGCTCTGTTTTTCAAACTTAGGCACTGGTGTAGTCTCCTCATCCTCTACGTATTGCCATACATGGAATACACACAGAAAAACCCTGGGGAGAAGGACTTCAGAGATATACTAATTGTTTCCATATAAAGCAGGGCATAACTACAATCTGAGAGGATATTCCACTAAAAGCCTGCAAATACTTGGAAGCTTCCTGTCACACAGGGAAATATTTGATTATAAGCAAAGATGGAGTCGTGAAGTTTTGCAGGCAGGTAGCCAAGATTTCAAATGCTAGTCCGGGTCATCTAGTCCTCTGAAATGAGCTTGATGTAATATTTTTTTATTTCCTCTGTCTATTGCTAATTCTGTGTACAAATCTCTGGTACAGTAAATATATAGTTGAAGTCTAGAGGTTTCAGAAAAGTAACAAAAGAAATCAGCTACAGGGCTAGTTAAGAGCTGTTTTGTGGGCTGTCCCAAGATGACACTGAGAGGTTATGTCAGGTTTAAAGAGAATTAAAAGGCTAGGTAACATCAACAGGGATTTCTCTGTTGCTTTGTCTAATGTGCCCCATTCCCAGGGAACAGAAAAAGCAGTCTTTAACAAAGTTAAGTCCCTCAAGCTATTGAGGATACACTGAAGAGGTAATGTAAAAAACCTCAGTTCATAGGAACAGCAGCATAAATATCTGAAGATGTACCAATGACTCTCTGGAGAAAGGTTTGTGTCCGTATCCTTAGTACATTGAGGCATTTTCTGAAGGTTATTTAATTCCCACTGTACATGAAGAATTCAGAGAGGCAGTTTGGTCACTGAAACTCAACAGTTAGAAACCAGCCTAGTCAAGCCATGGAGAACTCAGCATCTTCTGCCACTGAACCTTGGAAACCAGGTAATTTGGACGGAAAGCTCTGCTACAAGCATTCCTAGCTCATAGGCATTGGCTGTTTTATTTTAGGAGATGTACTGTTGGGCTACAGTATAAGCTCAACAAGCTGCATGAAGCGTACACAAAAGCTGTCAGATAAACGGGAGATTAAAAAAATCCAGAATACTGTTTATTGATTTTTTTTTAATTTAGAAACTCGAAAATCACCTTTCTTGGTCTGTAAAAGAAAGGGTCTTTCTTCACTTCTCACTCACACCTACACTTTTAGCTGTGATTTTAGAAATATCTAGAGAGTAGAGGATTTTCTTAAGTGCTTCTGCGTGGGTTTAACATAGCTTAAACTGGGGCTTAGTCTTGCACTCATAGTATTTACAGCCAGGTGTCTTTAGCTTCTTGTTGCAGCCCTGGCATGGGAAGATCAGACACAGATGATGAACCCTTTTCAAACACTGGTCATGAAGTTCACAGGCTTAACCTGTGAAGCTACTCTGAGCTTCATTCAAGCGTGGTGCTCCCTAGAGAGTACGCACAAATCGGGTGCCATTCCATTTCTCATGTCCTAAGGACAGAAAGTATTCAGTTAATTGAGGATCCACAATTTTAGTTGTTTTTCTTACTTTTCCTGGAATGCATGACTCAGGGATGAACAATGTTCAGTCAAAAACAGTACATTAACTCTCCCTCATTAAACTTTTTATTTTTGGTATGGCTTCCAGCTGGATAATGAATTCATTAGGTATAAATTGTTTCTAATGCTAAGCAGATGAAAGTACAGATAGGCATGAAAAACTAGGGGACAGGTATGCAGTTATCAGATTTGCCAGTGATAGCAGAGGTGTGTACCAAATCCATGCGACCAAGGTCAGAAGTGTCTTTGGAATATTTAGCATTGATAGCTGTTTATTTATTATCAGTGGGGGCTCTTCATGTTAACCCCCAGGTTCCTTTGCTAGAGAAAAAAAAAATTCAGTTGAGACTGAATAGTTGCAGCAGCTGCATCTTTGGTGGCTAATTCACAGCTGAACAGACTTTTTTTGGCAGGAAGCTGTATGTCAAACCTTGAGTAACCCTGCATGTGGGATTAAGTGGTGGAGCATGAAGAAGAGATGCACTAAAGCTTTCAAACAGAACGAATCGATGTGACCATGGGTAATGGAAATGAGGCAGGAAATGGCCTTTAACCTGGAGTTGATTTCTCATAAGTGGTCTTTTACAGGGATGATGAGCATTCTCCTTTTACTCCCTAGTGTATGTAAATTGTTTTGTAGCATGAGAAACACTGATGTAGCCAAGGAACCAAAATTGTTCCTGTGCTGCTTCTTAATAATAAGGTCTCTTCTCTTAAGAGACCTTCTTCAAGGTCTCTCAACCTTGGCCCGAGTGTAATAATGGTGCAATGCCACATGCTTGCAGCCAGCCATTGCTCCCCCCAAGATAACCCCTTACCTGCTCTATCCGCCTCAGCAGCTCCTTCTTTTGACGTTCCCATTCTCGTCGGTCTCTATCAAGCCTGTCCAGGAGCTCCACCTTTTCCCGGTTCCAGTTCTTCTCACTGTGCTGGATTTGCCAGCGGAGGTCCATCACCACACCATGACTCTCAGCCAGAAGCTTCTTTCCCTTTTAAAAGCTCCCTTTGCATCGGAAGTGAGGCCTGCTTCTCCTGAGGTGTTCTCACTCTTCCCTTCCAGCTGGCATTAAAGCAAAACATTACTAGGACGTTAAACTTTCTGTGATAAAAGCCTGTGTCTGACAATAAATTTGAGTTCTAAAGCCCTAACTCCACAAAGGTAATGGCAAAATTATGGCAATTCCTAGATCTTAGGATATCAATAAATGATCAAATATATTCAATTTGAAAGAAGTTTTAAAATCAAGACAGTGAAAACCATAGTGAATAATTTCGCAAGCTCTAACTGCTCATGCTATTAAGACATCAGTTATGATCTTCCTGATGGAAGTGCGGGTACCAGCAATGAAGGAAACATGGAGATGAACTCCAACCTCATGATCATCTCTGAGACAATTGCCAGGACAACATCCTCAGCCATTGCGCTGCTTTTGGGGTCTCACTCAGTGCACCCGAAACCTAAAGAGAGTACATGCACTGTCTGAAGAGGCTTTTCCCAGAACAACCCTCAGCAATCGTCTTGTTGTACAGCTCCTCACACCTCCCAGCAAAAGCGGGTGTTAGCAGCAGATGGAGATGTACCAAGATCATGCCCTCATCTCTGCAGGTTCTGGTGCCTGAACTGATTTCTAGGGCAGTGAGCTGATGCTACCTTCCTTCCTGCTCCTTCATTTCATGCTCAGGGCTCAGCTTGATCAGGTCAGAAGAACTGGCCCAAGGCAACAGGGTCATAGGAAAACGCAGGCTCGATGGGGTGTCAGGAGGTCTCGAGTCCACCCCCCTCCTTCCAGCAGGGTTGGCTCTGAGGTCAGCTTGTACAGGACTTTGTTCAGTTGGATCCTGATGAACCTCCAAGAGCAGAGGTTGCACAACCTCTCTGGCCAACCTGGGCCACTGCTGGACTGTTGTCAGAGTGAACAAAGTGCTCAGTGGTACTGTGTAAGTTCAAGCGAGTGAAGAATTCATCCTTGAAGCCTGACCTTTTCCTGACAACTCAGTAGACGTGTGAGTGACTCAGAATGGGATGCATCTCCATCCCCTGGCTCTGCAGCTGAACTAGAGTGAAAAGCAAAAACTCATTTCTACCCCTGAAGGATAAAGTTGTCCTCAAAAAGGAGAGGCAGCAGATCTTCTGGGAAACACGCTCCTTTAGCAGGAGAAAAGGACAACACCTTCACCTTGCCTGATGTGGAAAATAAGCCCAAAGTTTCTGAGCAAAGGGAAGTTCAGACTGGATTCAGGAGTGAAGCTTACTAGTCTCTGAAACAGCCTGCCCAAATAAATGCTTGAGAGGTCATTGCGTGAGTCGATTAAAATCATACTGAGCGGCAGGGAACATCTTGTTACAGCCACTTGCATTGACGGAAATCTTAAAACACCTGCACTCTCTACCACTAATTTCTAAAATCCGGTTGTTTTCAAATGACCAAACAATCAACCGACCAAGCTACCAAAAAAATCAATTATAAAAAAGCAGGATGCTGCTTTAACCAATTTGACATGACACTATCTTTCTCACACTTATCCTGTTTGTGCAGCGCACATTTGTGGGACCCGCAGTGATGTGTGAGAGGCTGTCCTGCACACAACTGCATGGCTTGGTGGCGGACCGGAGGTGCCGTGGGGCAGAAATGCAGGACATCCCAGGAGAGACGCCTCTATGCTGCAGATCCATGATGAGAGACACCATCCTGGGCAGCGCGGCTTCTCAAGAAGCCGGGAAGCTTTGTTGCCTTCCTACTCACTACCCCAGCACATTGACTGTCTGCATGCTAGTTCAGCAATATGGAAAAGTATCACTGCTCGTTTCCAAACTCACTGCCAACTTCAGATAATGGCCTCTTGGCCCTTGCTACATCTTTCCTCTGTCCATCCTCAAGTCCCCAGCTCCCTTCCATGGTCCTGTGGGAGTCAGTGTTGGTGCTGCAGCCAGGGTCAGCAACGTTGGCACCCATTTAGGTTTGTTTGCTTTAATTTTACCATTCCGTGTCACCTGACCCAGGTGACTCTTGCAAGTTTCTGCGGGGTTTTCTAAGTAGCTGTGACACTAAATAATCATGAATTTCAGGAGTGTCACTGCAGAGTTGAGATCAGCCAAAACAATAAGGAATTAATGAAGGAAAACCTATACAGTTTCTTTGCACCTAAGCCTGATAGATGGCTATTTAGGACTTGTTCTTTGTGATATATGAAAGTCATCTTTCAAGGAGCTTTGATGCCCCCAGAGACTTCTCATCTTGCAATATGAGCTCTTAGGGGAGGTTGCTAGAGTCTTTGGGATAAACCCAACTAGGCTGGATGCCACATGCAGCAGTAGCTATGGATAGCATTCTAAGTTGTGAAGACATACCAATGGCTGTGATAAATTCTTTAGCTGGTATGAAACATGAAAATGCTAACAGCAACCTATAACGCAAACCAATGCTCCCCTGCAATAAATACAGTGTGCATGATTATCCTATAAAGCAAATTCCTTCTTCCATTTTTTTGAATCTCAAAAAAATAGCAAAATGTTGAACCTCAACAAGACTCATTCTCTCTCTCTCTTTTTACACCACCAAGTTCTTCACCACAACTGGGCAAATTCTCAGCCTTTGAGCTGGCAAACAAGACAGGCAGTGGTGCCTGCAAAGGGCAGGAGAGCTGGGAGAGGCAGTGGGGAGTAAGAACATGCTTCAGAAGAGTGATATCCCAACAATGTATGGCTGCCGTTAGAGTGGTATGCCCCAAACCACCAAAATACAGTAAGTCATCCTGTGCGGGACCATGGGCTCACCCAGAGCAGAGCTCTGGCTTTTGCCCCATTTGCCCTGTATTGAGAAGGATACAGGAAGTCTATAAATACAAAGATGAGTTCAAAACCAAGTATAGACTTGCTGTAAAATAGCAAGTACACAGTGATATGCCTTCAGGATAATTTCCTGTGTTCAGTGATTTGGGACCTAAAACATTCTCCAGTCAGAGGCTGTATCTTTAGTCTCAGAGGACAGTTCTTGATGCCTATAGAAGGCAGAACAATAGTCCTGGCAAAGAGAGATTCTTTCTGCCTCAGTTTTGATGAAACAGCTCCAATCACGGAAGAAAGGTCCATTGGTATCTCCTTAGCATGCAAGTCTAGATGTGACTTTCCTAAACCTGCTAACTACTAAGGGTGGCCAGACACCTCTCCATGTGCACCACAGGTTTTATTCTGCTCAGGTATCCTGAAGCTGGTCAGAGTCCTAGTGAGGGTCCATGTCCTTACATGCAAGTTCTCAAAGCATACGCAGGGTTTGGTCCCTCATACAAACTCCCTCCTTCCAAACTTTTCTCAGTTCCCAGAATACTGAGACTTCTACTTCCCCAGCTGGAGGCTGAGAATTACTAAGAATCCTTATTGGCTCAGCATTATCACAATCCCATACTTGGGAGCAATCTCATTACTTTATATCTTAGAAACAATGCCTAAGGATCCTTGTGCAAATAAGATGCACATGCATTTCTGGCAGACAAGACCTTTATTTTTGATAATATGTTCAGTGCTAAAGCTCCAAAGCATCAGGCAACAGCAGCACATTGTCACCTCTGATATGCAGTGCTTTTGTATCAAAAAAGTTTCCTTTCCTACACAGAGAGTTGAAGCATCAAAATGCAAAACTATTGCCAGTGACTATTAATTAGGAGTTGACTCTTCTGAGGAAAATGGTCTTGCTAATTGACCTACCGCTTCACAAAAAAAGTGGAAAACAGCAGCACTGAAGACAATGGTGGAGACTAGAAAGGTCTTGATTCTCTGTGGGCTTGTCAGGGGGTTGGCAGCTCTATATGAAACATACGGTGGGAGCGCTGCACAGTCCGCTGCTTCATCGCTACCAATCAATATATCAAAACGTCATGAGGGGTCCTCCTACCCACACCAACCTGACTGAGTTGGTTATTTAGGTAAAGTTGTTGTTATGCTACATGTTGGGACACAGAATAGCAAAGGATGTTAACATGACTGTATATAATGTTGACATTTCACACGTCGTTCACTTGCTCCTCCTATTTTGATCCTGAAATTGAACCTATAGTGAAAATGCTCCATAGTTTGAATCTTTAACATTAGTTTGAGATAAATTTATGTTTATATTATTCCTATTGCAGGCTTATTAACAATTATTTTTATATATGTGAGCATGTACACCAGACCTCAGTGGGATGCTTACATTATTTGTCCTATCCTAATTGACATTCTAATGACTGATGTGCTATTTTGCTACTGCATTAGGGACCTGGTTTTAATGTGAAATAGAAATGTTGTGGGGAATTGGCTAAGGAAGCCAGTTTTATGTCTTGAATATTGACCAGTTTCGTTCTTTTCATCTGTTTCAAAAAAATGTAAAAAGTAACACCCATGGCTCGGTAATTACCATGTTATGTATTATTACCAGTGGAGCAGTGGTGGTAGAAAAAAGCCTGAGAAAGCTGTCAGAAGGAAGGGTGTAAATCCTTTTTCTCCCTGGGCTGGAGTGGCAGCACTCTCCTGGTGCCAAACAACAGCCAAAGTGTCAGCCTGGGAGTTTATCTCCCCTGCAAAGGCAAAGCATGCAAGCCCTAAATTGGCAGTTCTTTGACAGACTAAATTTCTTGAAGTTTTGTTCTTTGTTGCCATCTCAAGTTTAAGGTAAATCTGTCACTGAAGTTTTATATCAGGAGGACCGAAAATGGGAATTGGTTTTGTTTCCTTTTTCAAGTGATCCATTGTCTGGGAATGTGTGTGCACTAAGAAGCAGCTGAACTGAGAATCTGAATCCGTTGAGAGAAAACCCTGCTAAAATGAAAGCTGCTTCCTTCATTCCGGGAAAGCAGCCTAGAGAACCTGGGCAGGAAAAGCAGCGCTCGCATCTCAGCTCTGTGTCAGTGAGTCTCCAACGTTCCGTAAACCCTCCTAAATGTACCACTCTCCCAGAAGGGAATGTTTTTATTATAATTGTCTTCTGCAGAGAAGCTCTGCAATTACAAATCTTTTTCTCAAGACCTGAACATACTAATTCTTCCACCCTTCTCTTCTTCAGTGCGGAAAACTAGAGCTTTTATGCCATCAGCTATGGAAATGAATCCTCGTGGGGTTTTTTGCTGTTTTGTTTTCATATTGCTTCAGAAACAGTACATCTTCTGCGAACAGCCGTACTGAAACACCTGGCACCAGATTTTATATACATACTTCTAACAGTATGCCACGGCGGGTACTAGAGCTCTCTCTTCAGTGGGGTACCATCCATCACTAACCAGTAGCTTTGAACAGCTGGTTTAATATTAACATATCAATCTATCACTTTATTAAATCACTCTTTTCTGCCCCATGCATCACATACCGTAGTCGTTATGTGCCAAGACACAGTGACGAGCTAATTGCGAGCACGTCGACATCAAGACATTTTTCTCTCCTATAAATGCCAACAAACACCCACATGTCTCATTACCACAGCTGATACATTACCAGCCAACTCTTCTGAGAAGAAACAGTAAGAAGAGGTTCGGGTCCTTTATCCTCACCTACATTACACGGTACCTACTACACGAGCACTTGCACTGGGACAACTGGAATCCAAGAGGCAAAGCTTCACTCAGACTTCAGGGGGGCTTTCAGACATCAGGGTAAGATGAAAAAATATAATCCCTTTCCTGGCTGTCATAGATTTCCTGTTTCATTAAGCACCTCAGCCGTTCTTTACCGGTGTTGGACACGGGGGACATTACCTGTTCAAGGTGACACTTCAGTTTGGCCATCTCCACCTCCCAGGATGCCTTGTGCAGGGCGTACTGTTGCTGGAGGCCCTGGCGCTCGCGCTCCTCATCCTGCAGCTCCGAGCGGAAGTCATCCAACAAACCCTTCAGAGCATTCAGGAGCTTCCGATTTTCACTTGCCTGCCGCAACAAAACAAACAAAATGCTCTCATTGGATGGCTTTAGCCTCCAGTTTCATTTTTAGGAGGAAAAATGCCTGCCCGTCCATTGCATGGAAGAGGAAGTGCCTGGGATAATTTTTGCATGAGAAAACCGAGAATCACAATGCCTTCTCTGTCCACAGGTGGCTCAGGGAAGTAGTTGAGTAGTCACTATCCCTGGAAGTATTTAAGACGTGTAGACATGGCACTTAGGGACATGGTTTAGTGGTGGAATTGGCAGTGTTAGGTTTATGGTTGGACTTGATAATATTAGGGGTCTTTTCCAACCTAAATGATTCTATGATTCTGTGATTCTGTTTCTTGTTAGCCCTAGCCCTGAAGCCCCCATGAAAGCCAAAGATACTTCAGTCACCCTGAAAAAGGCACCAAACATCTTTTTGGAGTGAGGACACCTGCAATAACTTCCTTTTTAATATTGTAAACCAAAGGTAGACTATCATTCCTGACATTTGTTGGGTAACTGGGTGTCCCATACATACAGTCATTGCTCAGGATCAAACTGCAAATATTTGTAAACTACATGTACAGCAAATTATTTTTTAATTAATTTTAATTTTTAATGGGTAAAAAAAAAAAGTGAGGTTTTGAGCTGAGTATCTCTACTAAGGTATTTCACTAGCCTGTACTTCACATTTCTGCTCAGTCCCAGGCAGTCGCACACAGGTTAGCTTTGCAGAAGCACCATGTTTGGTACCAAAGGCATGAATGCCAAGCAGGCCACTTTTACTCTTGCACATGGGACCAAAGAGCAAAAACCCCCATCCACATCTTACTGAGTATACTCATGGTCATACTGAAAATGTTGTCTGTGCTCTTGTGCTAGCCAGGAGCCAAGAACGGAGTTAAACTGAAAGTCTAGCCCAGAGCAGGCATCTGATCTTGACAAGTGCTGAAAGACAGCATGCATACTTATGCAAATCCCTAATTTTTTTCTGAGGTTTGGCATTTGCTTTCTGCAAATTCTCTGGACACTTGTAAAACCTGTCATTTTTATGTTAAATATTGAGAAATGGTTTTTTAAAAATTCATTCTGGATCAGTAAAACAAAAGGTATCCCACCGTTTTTTGCAGTTATTGAATTACAAAACAGAAACCTGTATCATGATTTATTTATCCAAAATTAAATATCAAAATCAATATCAAACCAATATCAAATATTCCCAATGAGCTTTTCAAAGACTAGGGAGTACTTGGAGATTGTATCTGTCAAGTTACTTTGAATAGAAAAGACTTCTAAGAAAATTATATTTGATTAGCAGACACAGCATGAGTAGAAAAATGGGAATGCTTACTCAAAGAATTCAGCATTTAATCACCTGGTTCTCATGAATGTGTTAGCTTTCTTGGGAAGGCCTAACTCAAACTAGCTGACTCAGTTCTTGCATGATAGTCTAATTGATTTTATTTTTTATTTATTTTCCCAAGTGAGATTTCCTGCAGTTCCTCTTATCCAGAGTTTAATGAAATACCTGCATAGGAGCTTCTTTGTAGACAAGTCAAGTAAACAGATACACACAAAAATCTAAATAATTTTCATGAGCTTTTTTAATGACGATACATATAAAAATTTATGCAGACAACTAAGCTGATTTCATATGCTCATCAGATTTTTGGCATCACTGAACCCACCTCACCCACTTTTGTAATCACTCATCAGACATACCATGGGTTTTTTCCTTAAAAAACAAACAAATGTGGTCTACTTTTTCCAATCCATTTGATTCATCAGCAAAAATATGCTAGATGCAGGGAAATGACTGCAGGTGCTCATTGACTGACCTATAATTGGTTTGGGCTAATGAAATGTGATGGTGTACAACATGGCGTTTTATAAGGAACACACCCACGGAAGCAGAATTAATTCCATTAACTCCATCATGCATATAAGATCACCTACTTTTCAATATGTAATGACATTTTATGTTTCCATCATGAATTTTCATTCTGATACCCAATTAAGGCTAAATTCTCCAAACTTCACAAGCCCGTTGTGTAGTAATCAGAACAAGGGCTCTTTTGAAGATTTGTCCTTAGTGTCAAAACAGGAGCTTCTGGTTGTTGACTGCATCAAAATCTGGACTCATTCTCTTTGAAAACCCTGACCCCAATTGTCTATGAAGTGCTTCCATTCAAGAGCCACGTTCTGTTTTCTGGTTTGCTTTATAACCCTTTCTCTGGCACTCTAAAGTCTCCACAAGGGAAATGAGGCAGAAGAAAAATAAAACCAAATAACACTAAAGCAAGCTACATCCTTCATTCTTGTGCACACATTTCATAGCTTTAGAGTCATGTAAAATTAGGTTTGCAAAGAAAGAAGTAATGGACCAGAACAGAGAGGAGTCAAAAGAGCCTCACTGCGGTTTTGTAGCCTACTGGGATGAGGGCATGTGTTATTTCTAGAGGCATTACCTCAATGTCGCTGTTATGAGACAAGTACCCCAGGTACCTTGCTGGGATTTTAATTAACTTGCCAATATAAATCCAGTTTTGGTTATATACTTTTAATTCCTGCAGAGAAGTCTCTTTTGCATGACTTTGTATTTACAGTCTCAAGTTGGAGAGGTCTGTGAGATTATTTTTATTGTTTTGCCAAACTGGAGGGTTTTTGGAGAACAGACAAAGTACTTTTGAGCCCATGTGCTTTGAAATACAACATTTACATCTAGACATGCTTTAGATATCTGTTGGTAAAACTGCCAAGCAGCTTCTGCATAAGTCCCATAGATACATACCAAGGATCATTATGGCCTTCCCCTTCCTCCCAGGGATGTTGTACAGGCAGAAGAAATGGGGCATGGTTGTGATTCCCTGGACAACCACATGCAAGAAACTGTCTCTTTAGTACCTTACAAGTTACCAAAATTTAGAGCATGGAGGAATCTGACTGATTCACACCTGATCTAAGACGAGAGTTACACAAGCAGTTTGAAGTCTTGTATCCACAGCTCAGGATTTATACTTAAAGGAAACAACAGCTGACAATAAGTAAAAACTTAATGTAGTAAACCTCAATTAAATTCCAGGACTTTGAGGTTTTTACTAAGAGTAGAAAAGTTTGGGAGCAAAGCAGTTGTTTGAAGCTTGCTTCTGCTTTTAGTCACAATTATTTTTTCTCTGAGAATTTCACTTAAGAATTTAGCCACACTCTGGTATTACAAGCAGTTTAGTAGAGCAGTCAATTAAAAACACAAGGTCAGGAGCTTAAACAGTCAACAAGAACTGTGCATTTTCTTTGTCTAAGCACAGATCTAGGGAAAAGTGAAGCTGGATCTCAGTGCAAATATTTTTAGTGTATTTAGATCTTAATTACTATTCCTTTGGGCTTTTCTCTCAGCTAAGCTTTGAAAACAAATATTGTGTAAGAAAAAAAGATCTAACTGGGGATTTTCTCGACACTCCCCCACCAAGCAACAACATGAGTGTATTGGGTTTGGATGCTTTTTCCATTGGACCACAGATGTGTAAACTCTTTTCTTCTTACTCCCCTGATCTTAGACCATTCAGCAGGCCTTTCACCCTTTCTACTCAACAGAACTAAAGCTCTTTCTTTTTCCACAGGCTATGCTCCCTGATTTGTTACTACACACACAGTAATGCTGATTTAGAGCAAGCCCTCCTCTACTGCGCCACCAGCCTGACTTGCCAGCTTATGTACTGCTCGTGACCAGACTTCCCGCTTAGCTCTTGAGCCTTGCCAGTTCCTTGCCCAACCCTTTCTGCAGTGTGCTCCAGCTACCAGCCAAGGGCCAGTATCATGAAGAGAAAGATGAATTGGTCTTTCTCAGAGTCCTCATCTATTCTCCCTCTCAGACTGGCCACATAAAATTTGCAGACAAGTAAGATGTGTACATTCCACCAAGTCGAGTACCTCAACTCATAATAATATAAAATTAAAGGCTGCTTGTTCAAATGAAGGCCTCAGGGTTTATAATTTTTCTCAAAACAATTCCACCTTCCTGGCAGGGTGAGAAAGACAGCAGCAAGAGTGCAGGCTGAAAATACAAGCCATTAAATATTAACATCAAATGTTAAAAATAAGTATGGGTTACTTCAAGTTACCGTAAGCCCTTTCTTTTTTCTGACCCAGTTATCTCAGCCACTCCTAGGCTGTTGCAAAATTTCCTTTTTTTTTACATGCCTGTCAATAAATACAGTGCTTGTTAGAAGACTCATTAGTGTGAGCGGGCAAGACAAGTAATAGTGCTTAAAATTAGAAATATTCAGCAAATTCACTCATTCTTGCAGTGTTGAAATAACACTTTTTTTCCTGGTTGGAAGGCAAGAAACCTATTTTACCTTCATAAGTCATTACACATCATACAGAGTATATAAAACTGAATTATAAGCAATCCTACTTCCCATTTCTGCCACCTTAACTGAGATTGATGCCTAAGCAGTGATTGTTTCAGAAAGGACATAATTTATTTGAATGTCCTTGGACATTTTAAGTGATCTATATGGAAAGTTAGCACATGACATAGTTTATACTGTGGCAGTATGTTGGTTTATATTTACATCTACCCTGGCTGTCTTCAAGGCCAGGCTGGATGAGGCTTTGAGCAACCTGGTCTAGTGGAAGGTGCCCCTGCCCATAGCAGGGGAGTTGGAACTAGATGATCTTTATGGTCCCTTCCAACCCCAACCATTCTGTGATTTTATGATTCTATTTTACTCATTCTAGTTTAAATCAGTCTACAGATAGAACGCAATCAAATGACGTGCTCAGGAGCATCTTTTCCATGGCCTTCTTAATCCTGTACCAGAGAAAAGCTTGCTGAGAGGATGAAAGTGATGTGTGTGGGTGACTGGCAAGGTAGAACCTTGCCAAATGCCAAACGAATACTACCTTGGAAGCACACTTCACAGAAAATAACAGCTAGAGAATGGATATGTCAACTAGCACTGAAAAAAATGAAAGCAAAAGAGTATATAAACTTAAAGCAGAATATGAAGTAGCATAAAGACCACAGATCACTACTATTTTTACTCAAACAGAAATTCCACCTGAAGTTACATCTTGAACTAGAGAGGTGGGTTTCAAGACAGCGTGTGTATCTCCCAGCACCAGTCTAACCACATTATAGGAGAGAGGCTTACTGCTGCCCGCGGTGTGTCTTTTAGATCATATAGATAATAAGCAAAGAGGTTCTACATAGTCGTGAAAGTCTGAGGAATTCAAAGTGAAGAACTGAAATGCAAATACACACACATTCTCCAGATCCTGCAGTGAGTCCAGCAAGGTAGTGTGGTCACAGAGGGTACATATTTGTCTGAGAGCTCTCCCTGTGGAGCAGGCTCCCAAGTCAAGGGCCTGGATAAAGACGGGGCATAAGGCATTAACTGTTTTACACGGAATCCTTGCTCCGTTCTACTTACGATCGCAAATAATTCCATGTAACAGGATGCTCTCATTTGAACATTTTCCGTTTAAAAAAATATAAGAAGATGATCCTGAAGAACTGTTGGATGACTAAAGTCTGTCCCCTTTGAAGGTTTGCTATTATTATTGTTAGGACTGCTGGTATATTAAATGCACAAAGGAAAAAGCTAAGATATATGGCAGTGCTCTGACTCACACAGGCAAGCCACAGGAGAGATGCCAGGGAAGAGTTAGCATGATTTGGTTTTGGGCATTTTAAAACAAGCACAGGGACATAAAGGAACTTTTGCATTGTTTTCCCATCATCTCTAAGGGAAACATTAAATACATGTACTAGTTTCTTAAATTATTTAAAGGAAATAAAAGCACCTCTTCTTGCTAAAAGCTTGACAGTAGCATACAATAGATGTGCTCAGGCAAGAGAAGCATGTAAATTCTGCAAACCATCACATGCTGATAGATGTTTCTGGGCAAACAGCCACAAGAGGAAATAGGATTTTTCACTGGTAGTATCTGCCAACAGGAGAACAGTAATCACGTGGCTCCTGATTAAATATAAATATAAATATAATGGATGGAATCCACTGTAATTGCTGTGTAGCTACAAGTATTTTTATAAGTACAACTCTTCTTCAGCAGTAGAGAATTAACTCCCAGGGAAAATCCACAGTTTCCATTCCTAGGGCATGATATACAAATAGTACAGTACCTGCTTCTGTTGCTGCAGTAATTCTGCAGTCTGCAACTGTGGTCCATGATCAGTGCTATCCATGTTGGGACGCTGGGAGAAATCTGACAGTGCAAACACCACATCCTCTTCCTCCTCCTCTCGCTCTGCATCATCCGCCTTCTGCTCAGACTGAACGCCAAAGTCTGGGAGGGCCTCAGGGTGCTCGATCTAAAATGCAAGAGATGGGACACATCAACACTCTGTTGATGGAAGGGATTGAAGGGCTATGGGAAGGGACTATCTTCCCTTGCCTCTCTGTGGTGGGATATATTGACTTTTGTTCTGTAGGCTACAGGACATGAACTCTGGGTGATATATGACATGTTGCACAGGTGAACCCAACACTAGGCAGGCCTGCAAAACAGGAGCAGCTGAGAAGATGAGTGGAATGTAGCATGATGGATATAATCCATCACTCATTAATGAAAAACTATACAAGACACTGGTGTATTGTCTGATGACGATATAGAGATGAAGAAGGATCCAAATCTAGCACTTTATTCTCTCTAATATGTTAGCAAAACACGACTCCAATAATGACTGGAGGTGCATTGATTATAAATTAACCAGACAAAAAAACCAAACAGTGAAAAAAGGAAAGCTATTTGATATTAGAAGATGAGCTAGTTTACATAGAAACAAATTAGTACCACTAATTTAGTACTGAACTAAAGTAGAAGCAAATTATTTCTAAGTAGCTACTCATCTCTTGTTTCTGACTCATATTACCAGAGCAGATGAAGGTAAAGATGTTCATCCACCCTTCATCTAAAAATACAAAACATTGGAGTCTTCAACTCAAGCATGTTCCTACCAGACCTGAAAAGTTACTTGCACTGCCAAATGCAGCCACACCAGGCATATAGGTATCAGAAAAACTGAAAAAAAATTACTTAGTTGCCTTAGCAAATGGCTTCAGAATTGCACAAACCTGCAAAATGAATCTATTATTCTCAGGAGTTTTATATAAAATGTCAGAATTGGCAAACACTTTTTAAAACATTTTTTTTTTTTAGGTATGATTTCCAAGGCAAATGGTAATTCTGGATGTGCAACTCGACACAATTTAGCAGCACCTTTCATCACAGTGCATATTGGCTGGCAATCAAACCCCTTATGAGATGGGTCAGCTTGGGGATTCCAGGTTGTTATGTACTCCTGAAATTCCTGATCTGAATTTAGTTGCTACTTGGAAAATCACCATGATGACTACTGGCATACTGCTGCTGACGGTGACAGACGTGTGTACGGAGAAGAGGAACAAACAAGAATGATTCACTGTAAGTTCCCACAAGAAGCTGTATAATTCTCCTGCCAACATGAAAACAGAGCTTCCCTCCATCTGTATTGCTGAAGGCTTTGTAAGGAACACACTGTGCACACGATGAGAAAAACCACAGCACTCAACCCATCTAAATAGATTTGACTCCATCAGCTGGATAAAGTTTTTTTCCTTTCCAAAAATTATTCAGGAGTCAGATCTTTGAGACTAAATTAAATTTTCAGTTACTATGAGAGAAGTTTTCAGGACCAGATTTTTGCACTATTTCAAGGTTTAGATTTAACGATGGATGATCTGTAACATATCATGCAAAATATAGTTTAGCACAAGCCAGCTGAAAAAAAGTCTTCATGTGTAATTTGAATCCCCTTTAAATCTATGTGTAATTGTAAAGTTGCTGATGCCACATCATATTTAAAGTCCATACTTGAACAAGGGACGTCCCAGTACCCCAGCACTTGCAACTTCATTGGGTTAGTACGGTGGGACAGTTACCTCCAATATATCCTCTCCTTCCTCCTCCATTCGCTTGCCTTGCCGCCAATGTTTCAGCAGCCACTTCAGTTTGACATACAGGAGAAAGGTGTCCTGCTTGAAATGCCTGAGTTCTTGCTGCAGCAGATTTTTCTCCTGGCTCCAGGTTTTCTCTTCCAGTTTGTTCTGCAAAGTCAAGCTCTGCACTTCCAAGTCTTTCCTCCGCAGGGTCTGCATATGCTCCTCCTCCAGCTTTAACAGAACCACAGACACCGTGTCAATGGGGTGGTGTCCTGGGGCACTCTCCCGGACTTGTACTTACACTTTCAGTGAGACAAACTGAAATACCCAGTTTTCATCAGTAGTGAGTAGCTATTGAGTTTGGCTCAGTAAGTTCCTCAGCAGTTACGACTGTTGAGGAAATTAGAGGAGAGCAGTCAATAAGCTTTGCTTAAGCATATCCAAGTAACCTGCTGTGGAAGTGAACATTTACTTTAAAGATGCACGAGACCTCTGCTGCTGCTTAAGCATTTTATTCCCCTCATATCTTCCTCCCTCTCTTGATTGTATCCCTGCAGTATGTTCCCAGCGCAGCCACCACCCCACACTGTTGCACACACCACACCTGCTAAATGCATTTGCAGCCATTCCTACAAGGTGGGACCACAGCTGCCCTTCAGACAGTCTGGAATATTATCCTTTCCTCTTTCCGCTCCAGCCACAGACTCATCCTTTCCTCTGCGGTTATATCTCTCTCTGCTTCTGGAAGGGCAACACCTCTGAAGGAACCACATCCAGTATCTCAGATACAACTACTGATCCCTCACTTCTCGCAGTTCATACTTGGAGGCATCTGAACAACTCACAGTAAACAGTTTCTCATTCTGATATAACAGAATCATAGAATGATGTGACTAGATCAGGGACACATGCAGGAACCGAAGAGACAGGAATAGGCTGCAACTTGGCATTCAGCATGTCTCAGTTTCAGTACTAGAAGCATCCAGCAAAGCTCCTTCTCTGGATCACACATATAATTACATCTGTTTCAACATAAGGTCACCTGAAGCATTGTTCTTTAAACATGACTTCTCCCTCAGTATGTTGAAATCAAACCATGGCACGACCTGCACCCAATAGCACTTGTACAAGTTAGTTGTACAGCATCTCATCTTCCGTGTGGATGAGATCGTGTTTCCACTTTAACCAAGCTGTGGTTCACATTGACCAAGAAAAGGCTGATGGAAAACGAGTACAGAGCCACTGCTTACAGATGCCAGTTTCTACTCTTTTCCATTCTGTGGAACACCAGCCTCTCCCTTTGCTGACCAGCTCCATAGGCGAAATCTATGAAAGCCACAGTACACTAACGATGGCAACGATTTAAACCATAAAAATATACCCAGCAACAAACAACATTCACACAGGAATGAAGAATACTTCAGAGATTCTTCTTCAGGAGCCTGGAGCCCTTAGTAATTAATACTGCTAAGAAATACATGCTTGATTTTCATGGAAACATTCAGATGCTTCTGACACAGGCTACTGGTCTGTACTAGATGTTTTCCTAAGGACTTTCCTGTCCTTTAAATAATGTGCTCTGGCATAATGCACATTTTCAGTATCTACACTACCGGGACTTTAAAAGTTCCTGATTAAATTAAAATTATTTACAGTAGTTGTTAGTTTAAATGGATTTAAAATGCAGCTTAAAAATAGTCTGGAAGAAAATTAGCTCTAATGGCCCAAAAAATGTACATGGAACTCCTAATAACACTCATGGAGATTGTACACTGCTAGCACACATCAATCTGATGTCATTAAACATTGCAAAAAGAGAAAAAAAAAGGTAAAAATGTGGTTCTTTTAGATTTAATTTTTACAGGAGGAAACAAAGAGATTTTGTGTTGATGCAGGTTCTTCCACCAAATGAAGTTATGGTTAAACACAACAGAGATCTGAGTCATTTCCACCAGAAATCCTGGAAGATGATAAAAAAAGGAACAGTATCAACAGGATGGGCATGAGCTGGAAAAAATGAAGAACCCAGAAGATGCTTTTATTCTTCTATTTCTACTGGCTGTCAACATGAATAGCTAGCTTTGATTTTACTGCAGTTTTCATTGTTTTTACAAGCTGTTATGATCTAAGTCCCTGTGGTCACAAATTCTTGCAGAAGACCCTGGTGGAGGTAGCTTCATAGAGTATTATGCTTTTTCAGTGGATAGCTATTGCAAAAGAAAGGACTTTAAGAGGCAGGCATAGCTTCCAAAAAGCTTTCATGGCCAAGGCAACTAGGAAGGAAATCAATTTACTGGTTGCCTTCAAAAACCTCCATGAGAAAGCTCCTACGGAGATCAACTGGAAATTAAAGCTACTTATGAAAAAATGGAGAGAGACCACTTGGGCATAATGAGATTAACTGGCACAAGGAAAGATGCTTTACACTATGCGACAATTATGCTGAATTTAGTCTGTGAAGTAAATTTAAAAAGAAAACTTCAGCTAAGAGCCAAACATCCTGCAAAAATTAGCAACAGACGTTTTTTGCTCTAGGAGCTAGAAATCACAAAATGATTGACTAATATGTTCCAGCTTTCAAAAGCGCAGGGCAGCCCATGTAAAAAGAATGTGATTTATTCCCCAGTTATGAGTAAAAGTGTTAGAAGCACGGGGTAGTGAGAAACACAAAAACGTCCCGATTTGTGTCTCAGTTATGAGCATGTAACAACTCCTCTGACTTCAGAGAAGTTTTGGGTTTTCTTTGGGCTAGGAGGGGTCAGAATAAGGCACAGAGCCAAACTGTGTTCCCAGAGATCAAACGCACCCTTCCCCAGCTCCCAAAGAGCTGAAGGGGCTGATGTAATTCCTCAAGCAGTATTTCATGTCTCTACCTTAACTTCCCTCGCACAGGGGAGGACAACTTCTCTCCACCAAGCAGAGAAGCCAGATTCCAAGTGGCAAAATAGGCTTGAGTTTACATTTCCCCAACTTCCAGATTCTTCATTTACTCAGGTGAGCTCAAACAAGCACAGCCATCGGGACACATGTTCCCATGGTCCTGACAAACAAGGTCCATGCCACAGGTCATGGTCATGCGTTGTTCCCAGCAGGCGGGTTCCATATTTACCTGGATAATCCTTTCTGTAAACTTTTCTTGCTCCTCTTGGTGAAGTCTCGTCTCCTGCTCAAGCTGAGCCTGAAGCTCCTGTATCGATACATTCTGTACAGGTAAAACATGGGAATCCCTGAGCTGATCAGCAGGACAAAGGTTTAGGTTTAGCAGAAAACTTGTCTCCGTGGTGTAAAAAATAAGGAAAAAGAGAAAAGAACTGCAGGACAGACATCTGCACAACTCACCATTATCAACAGTTAAAAACAAAGCACAGTGTGCAAATAAATAGCAACAACCTAAATGTGTGGGAATTTCCTGTGTGGCTTCTTCTGAAAATCGAAGCTGGGATGATGATGCTACATGTTGGATAGTCCCTTCAGGCCTCTGCTCTGGGTTTGTACTCGACTAGCTGAGATAGCGCACCATCGGTGACATTTGCCAGATGAGCTTCTGTTTACAAGGTTACGTATTTGGTGGCGCATTTCATTATGGTAATCAAAGCTATAAAATTTTAACATGTTTGCAGAAGATGCATCTGATGCACATATACTGAACCTAATTATCTATTCATTTGCAACACTTCTGATTAAGGAGTTAATGGGATAGCATTTATTAAACCAACATATAAGGTCCCTTTCCTCAGATACAGGACGGTTCTCTGCACAAGCCAACTTCATGATGTGATGTCTACTCAAAATAATTACTCCACGAATGTCACAGTGAGAAGCTGTGTGAGCCTGAGATCTGACCAAAATGCTTATGTCTCTCCCTTTTCAGGTCCAACACTATTTTAATCTTAATACTTTCAATTTTATGTTCTCATTAGGCTTTGCATTCCATCCATTTTACTTCTAAAAGTCACTTAAATCAAAAATAAAGACCCAAGAAGGCAGAGTCAGACCTCATTGTTTATGCTATGTTGATTAATCTTGTGGCACTTACATTCCTGATCTGAACTTTCTATGCCCTTTGTTTTGTGTCTCTTGTACTGAAGCTAAAACTGATTTGTCTGTACAAAGGTGATGCTTGGCCAGATGCCATTGTCTTCACATGTGCGACCACATAAAACACTGTGTCACCAAACTCCTACATCCTAGAATAAAGATACATTTAAAGAAGGGATTGCTTCAGGCTTCAAAGCATAATCCCAAATTCTCTGCTGGCCGACATCCAGAGCGCTCCAACCTCAGCAGCTGCAAGGACGTAACGGAGGTTGTGGGACTGCTCTTGGGGGTTGCATTGCCATTTCCCCTCTAGCATCAGCCCCGGCACCAATCTCCTCTCCCTGAGCACTTCTGCTTCCCGAGAGCAAAACCAGCTGCTGCTGCTGTTTGGGCCACAGCAGCCCTTGCTGGGACACTTCTGGTTATGCAAAAAGGATTTGTCACCCAAACAGATGCTCCTCTCCTCTAGGGAAGAAGAAGATCAGGCAGATGGGAGTAGCCCATAAACCACCCACAGGACCCTACTCTGCTGACCAATGAAAGTCACTGTACATACACTTTCTGGGGCCTGTCAGTCCCTTCTTTACTTGATCCACTCACTGACTTGTGCATGACTGTTTTGTACCTGAGGAAAAGACACTTCCAGCCCTCTGAAAGGCACCAGTGACGTGACCAAGAGAACATTATTGGCCTTATCAATTTCATCTTATGCCTTAATGTGTCTGCAGACATTTTGTATTGCACAAGGCCAAAATTTGGTCTCACAAATAATTTGGAAAGAACTGCTTGCAATGGGATTTGCCAGTTATGCACAATCATTTGTAAATCATCAGTTTAATGTTCTCATCCAATAAAGGAAAAATTACTTCCTCAGAAATTTCTGCATTCTTTTATTCTGACCAGGTTTCTTTAGGAAGATGACAAATAACAACCAATGTACCTAGTTAATTCAGGTGTAATTTAAAAAAAATATGGGTTTTTTTATGAATTCAAAAGCATCCAAAATCATTCAAAGTTTATCTGGTGAAAACAGATACAACATGGCAATGCTCTTCTGTTAACAATAATCCCTTATTCTAATTTATCTCTTTTTACAGTCATATAACATTTAAATAGTTAGAAATATTGGTCTTGGGATTCCTGAAAGTGGAAGCTTAATCAGAACAGCAAAAGTTACTGGGAAGGTAAGGTTTAAATTTTTCACTACTCATTTCATACTCGTGTTTTCCAATAAACAATGATTTCCTAAAGGTTCATTTGTTCTACTTCAGGCTGGTACTAATTGGAATCACATAGTTATGCATATACTGACAACACCTTATCACTGAAAATTAGGGCAAGAAAATGATTAACTCATGCAATTTTTCAATAAACATGTAGTGCACGCAAAGCCAAGTTTCAGGAAACTTGGGCACTGGGATTGTGAGATAAATGTTGGAATTACTAAAAAGAGATTAAATACATCATAAAGACAGATAGACTATTACATGCACACTAGGCAGTGCAAATCTTTTTACAGTTGATTTGCCTCTTTAAGTATGATAGTTCTTTATAAGTGGTAAAGAAAACGTGTTAAAAAGCAGTTAATGCATGAATGCAGAGCTGCACACCTTTGTCTTTCCAGTGCAACCTGAGGACTGCATAATCTATAATTTTATGTAATGCCATTTCTACCAGAAGCACTGGGATTTGTACTGCTCAAATCAAGGGAGATAAGGCTGCTTAAGCACCTAATCGAATGCTGCTAAACATCTGGATCATGAATGAGGAATATGTAGAAATGTATCGTGTGATATTTGCAGTTCAGGTACCTGATATTGCACTGATGTCTGTATGTTTGTATGTGGACAGCAGGCCCCTATCATATAATCAGCAGGGTGTAGTCTGTGGCACAACTGTGGTTTTGTTTTGGAACACAACACTGCTACAAAATGGACAGGAAAGTTGATAACCTGTTAACTTCCATTCTTTGTTTCCTTTGTTCTCATTAACAAATGCACTACACGAGGAACAGAAAACACGGCCACCACACGACATACCGACACACCGACACCACAGAAACAGACACAAACTCACTACAAGACATACAAAACCACTACAACAGGAACTACGAGCTAGCGCTACTCCACCACAGTGCCACAGAAACAGCTGCACCTCATCCACAGCTCGACACCAATCGACATTTTCCTATGAATCCCAATTATTGCATTTCCAGATCCACTTCCACCCCCATTCTCTTGAATCAGGCAGTGCCAAATCCTTCTGCTGAGTCCTTTTCTCTCACCTGTTACCACTCCAGAACAAGCTAATCCATGCCAATGTCTGTACCTCAAGAGAATATGTACAGAAAAGTCATCCACACTCTGGGGCTTCACCACTGCTCCCTCACTGCACCGACCCCTTTCTGTCACTCTCAGTGTGTTGAAGGCTTTCCAGGTTACTTTCCAGCTCACACAATCCCACATTTCTGCTATGACTTGTTTCTACATGATTGCCATGCACCATGAGGTATGGCTGTGTTGCACTTGTCTGTTTTCTTCATTTTACCACAGCTAATTGAAATCTCAATTTGCCTCCAAACTTAATTGGTTTATATGCATCAACTGTGAACTTCAAATTTCACGGAATCTTTCTTGTTAGCCTTTTTTTTCGGGAGGGATGGAATAAAATAAAGCCTGAGGAGGCAGGGTAGAAAGATGCTCTCTGGCAATTGTGTGCAACTCTAAGGAAGCCAAAAGATGAACATCTAATGCTATGTTATAATCCTTTGATATCCCTTATATATTTGACGACTTAGTCTGAAAACTCCTACTTCTTCACACATGACGACTGTACATCGCATTGCGTACAATCAACAAGACCAGAGAGGAACTTCCAGTGCGTTTTGTATTGCTTTTTGCATGCAATACACATCTAACTGAATTCCAGAGACTGTGACTGAAGATATCCTCTTCTCCTCTCCCCCTTAAAAATAAATGACGTATATTCCTTATGCTAGGGTACAATAGGCAGTTGTGTGGTTATTTATCTGTGCTTATATGGAGAGTCTTCATAAATTAGAGAGATTTTGGGAGAACACAGATCACTGCTCCAAGTCTTTAAAAATCCATCTCATTGTATGGATAGTATACAAAGCCTCATCAAGTTCAGTTAGGACTGGGATATCCAGATTTACATCAAAAAGGGTCTTTGAAACCATTGTATTGTCAACCTTTATGGAATCCTGCATAGAAAGAAAGACTAAAATTCATCGAAGTAAATTATTCTTGCTGCCCCTAATCTTGGTGGGAAGGAATACTGTCAGTGCCAGTTTTTCTTTCTTCTTCCCACAACTTTGGATTGCAGGAATAGTGGACACTAAGAGATACAACTTTCTATGTGGTCCTCATTTGGTTTTGGGTGTTCTGGGTTTTTTTTTCCCCCAGAAGAAAAGTCACAATATATAAAACACTCACTGTTTCCTTTCTGGGAACACAAGATCTTAAATCAGGACAAGAGAAAAGGATGTGCAAATTTTCAGCACATGGCTGGGAGCTGCTGCGAAAGCCATCCAGCTGAAAAGCTCACACGTGGGATTATGAAAATTGCACAGAAGGAGCACAGACACACCAAAACCAGCTAAAAATAGAACATTCAAAATATGGACTGAAATTCGCCTCATATGCCCTAAATGGATCCATCCAGCAGATTTGATTCCAAGCAGGTAGTAAAGTGACTTACCTAGCACATCACTGTAACTGGTTGGTCCACACCTAACCCAGGTATTACTTTATAGTAATAGAAATGTTTTATATTTCTTACAGACATTATAAGTTAGAAAAATGGATAAACAGATTAAGAACATCCTAGCAGAAATTATTCCTCAGTGTGAGCTCTTCCTACTTACTACTGGACCTTGCGAAAAGACATGCTCTCACCTTCTCTAGCCTATCTGCTTTTATTTTGATTCTCTGGCAGCTACTTATTCCTTTTAAGCTAATTCACTTCAGTGATTCTTTTCCCATAACCTGTGAGTGTCAGAGAACTTGTGTCATTTTTCTACACAGAAACAAATGTGTAAGTTTTTAAAAGCCATGTATGAAAATAAACACAGTAACAAGTCTGAAATGCAAAGATGAGTGATTTTGCCTTTGATAGCAAATACTTTCTCAGGCAAGGGCAGAACTGATGCCTTTTGAAGGAACAGTCAGAGCTATGAGATACAGCTCCATTTTACAGCATCAGGTATCAAATACTGCAACAAGCTATATCTGGTCATTTGAAAGAGTGATTTTGGTTTTTTTTCTCCTCCAGAATGTCTTCTTGTTTTTGAATAAGCAGGAGGAAATCACTTAAGGAAGCTGCCTTTGGTTTACAGATATTCCACTGGTAAAAAGGGTAAAATTCACCAGATGAAAAATTATTTACCATTTTTCCCACTGGTTTCCATTTGTTGCCATAGTAACCCTTTGATTTGTGTGCAGGGCATTTGCTCCACGAAGCATTGTGTTACCTTTTTTAGTTCCTCCATGTCTTTCAGTCAGGGCAATTCTCACTTGTTCACTCGCTTTTTCTTTGCATGTAAAGAATGATTTCCCCCTCCCACCATAACCCGGCTCTGCTAAAATCATGAATAATGGAGCGAACATCCACCTCAAAGGGCTCCAACCTCCCGCAACAGCAGCTGAATGGCTTGTTTCAGCAAGAAAACAAAGACCTGCTCTTAAGGCAATTTCAAGATATAATTTCCCTTGGACTGTGACTCTAACCCACCTCTTTAACATGCAAATACATTCTAATAATACTGTTGCACTAACAACTGCAGTGCAAAGCCCAAACAAAGGCAGATGTTTACAGTTAGGCTACGGGGTAGTTTCAAGCACAAGTCAGTCTGCATTTATTGTATTTAATCAAACAATTAGGCTCCCACAATGCTTGTTTTTAAAAATAGGAGAAAAGGCGAAATGGAAGCTGCTCAGCATTGCTTAGGAAAATTTTCATTTAAAATTCAGCTTGGAAAAATTAATTTAGGGAAATGGGTTTGCTTGATTAAAAAGAAAATATTTGCCTAACTGAAATGAAACATGTTTTCATGCTGAAGGGCCAGACACAATAAGGACATCATCAATCGATGCTATCCTTTTCACCAGTGCATATATTTTCACTTCCTAAGGCAGAGCAAGATAACAGTTTATGTGGAGTTATTACTGCTGTGGGCACTGAAAGGTTTTGGGTCCATCTGAAATTTCTGTGGTAATTAAAAAAAACGCCTGTGTTTTGGAATGTTTTGGAATAATATTTTTTCCTGCTTATTTGGCACAGAAAATGGTGGTTCTTGTTAGTGCAGGCTATGAAATTAAAAAACTAGAGACTAAAAAAGATACCATACAAAATTATTTGGAGGAATCTTCTGCTTCACTTGGGTTTGACTATTACTATTATTTGAAGTGGTTGGCCACCCACTGAAAAGTTTCAGCATAAAGCAGTGTAATATTCTTCGTTGCTTAAGTAAACCTGACTGGAACAACACCCTGGTCTTCAACATTTTCTCAGGTTGGGCTCTTTAAGCCCCAACCTTGCTCATCTTTTGAGCACATTTGGACCTCAGCTGGATGTTCTCTACCTTTGACTACAATTCCTGGCTTGTTCCTCATCAGGCTATGATGTGAAGACTGCGCATCCTCTGTTTAAATACAGTTTGCTGTATGCAGTTTACAGATCACCCCATCCTGGGAGAGGAAAAAAAGATGTTGGGCCAAAACATCCTAAATCCCCAATCTTAACAGATTTATTTAAGACCATATACAGGGCTTAATATAATAACAAGGCTGATCTAAGGTAAGGAGGAATTAATAAACGTGACAGAATTTAATCAGGAATACTGTAAACATTTGCTGTGATCATTTTCTAACCTAATCTCCCATAACTATTAACCAATTGCTAAAGGATCCATGCTGAAGGGCAAGGTTTCTTTAGCTCATCCTCCTGTGACACAGCTGAGGAAGAAAGACTTTACCTGCAAGTGAGAGACTTAATGGTGTCCTGGGTTTATCAGATATCCTTCCTGAGGTTTATTATCTATCTCTGGTAAAAGTCAAAAGTTGGAAAAGAAGCTGCTGATCAAATGAATTATTCCAATATTACCAACACTCTGCACTGGCAAAATAGTTTGAAACAAACAAAACAAAACCAGCAAATAATTACCTGTGTTAAGATGAAGGGTCACTCTCCCTTTGATATTCAATACAGCATTGTGCTGCATGGCTACCAGCCGCACTGAAGCTTTCTCTTCCTACCCCTGCTTTGTACTTGTTATGTTTACCCACAAACCCAGCTGTCCCAACCAGCAGCCTCATTTTCCCAGACTCAGTTAGGGGTTTCAGATATACTAAGGCCTCTGCATGTGTCTTTAGAATGAAAAACATTGAAACTCATCCCTCAGTAGAAGCTACTTTAACCACCACAGTTTCAAGGTGGATTTGGCTTCTCAGTGGCCAGCAGAAAAGTTTTTTCCAACGCTCCAGCTCACCTTTGTGGAGACAGACTAGAAATTGTTTTCTTCACACTTGGACAAACTATGTTCATGAGAAAGCAGCTAAGGAGATGTTTACAATGAGGCTGATAGGGCCTCTGCATGGATGAAGATTTAAATAAAAACTGATCAATGTTTTTGATGAATGGAAAAGCACTCAACAACCCAAACAATGGAGAACTCTCTCTTTTTTTTTGTTTTTTTTTTCCCGAGCTGCAGGGTGCTGTGTTCCCTGTTGAGAATCACCACGCACACCAGCATCAAACCCTCTCCTGTGCTGACTACTGCCAGGCCAAATGCAAAGCAGTCTCTACCTGTAGACTTTCCAGATTTAAAATATTCGAAAAGGTGAAACCTGGAAACATGATCTCACATCAAGGATTACAACCTCTTTCAGAGATCTTTCATTACTAATCTCCGTTGTAATGGGTCCCTGAGCCATATTTTCCCACTTAGCAAAGCTACTGGGAGCAGGGTGATGAGTCCAAAGTCAGGACCAATTTGCTTCTCTGAAACTGCAAGGGGGAAAGGAGGTTACCACAAATTTCACACCAGGGGTACTGCGCTTGGTCCAATTTACTCCCCCAACCCCTAGCTTCTGTTACTCATCTCCTGACTAAGGCAGCAGGAGGCAGTGAGTGAGATGGGCTGCTTTGCTGACCTCTAGACTGAAACAGCCCTTGTCTCCTGGCCTGTAGAGTTTAATGTCTCCATCAGCTCTGCGGTGTGGGTCGGTGGTGGCTCGCTGGTGGTGAATCTCTTGCTTCTCTCCACGATCTTGTTTGAGCTGCCACTCCATCTGATCCCTCAGTTTGGACTGTTAGGTGCATGGGCGGTTTATAACAAAAAAACAAAAGGACAGGAGGGAATAAAGAAAACAAAAATGGGTAAGGTAGACGACTGAAAAACTACAAGACAAAGAAAAGCGTGAACAGAAAAATCAACTTAAATACAGTGGCATAAGAAAGTGAAGAGAACAAAACCAAAATGAGGATGAGCAAAATGATGGGCTGAAACATCTGAAAAGCAAAAAAGAGAAAGAGAGGAAAAAAGAATGCAAACACTGGTTATGAGGCGCATGCAATGAGGATGCATGAGTCAAACCAACAGCAAGCATACAAGTCATGAAGGATACGGGACACAAGGCTCTTCCTTCCTTACTTGTGCTGTGCAGAAAAGCCATATCCAGTGTGGCAGTTGTGGCAGTTTAGACATGCGCCCATGGGCAACGCTTTAGGCAAGGCAGTCCTTCGCTGGCTACAGAGCTTCTCACTCGCTGCTCGGTTAGGGGAGTGAGCTGTAAGCAGGCTTTTCAAAACACATCACTTAGAAAATTGCGTTTGGTTGGGTTCTTTTGGCAAGGCTTTTGAGAACACACCTGACCCTTTTACGAGAAAGCATAATAAAGACCTCCTCACATTTCTTAGCAAGGATGCTAATTTACGTTCATCAGAATTTTTTTTTTTAATTAATCTCCTCTTTCATAGGGAAACACTGCTGTTACAGACAGAAAGAAGACAGATCTCTATAGCACCGTGGATTAGCCTTTTTGCCATGAGGAACCGCCTCTGAATCAAAGGAGCTGTGCAAAGGAATAAAAGAAAAAAAAAAACCTATAAAGTGTTTGTTTAACATTACACACTTGAATATATTGCGGGTCTGAAATCATAACAAAGCAGCTGTGAGGAAAATTAGCTCTAGGGTAGCGATGCCAGCAAGAAAGAGAAACAATAAACAGAAAGAAGGCAAACAAGGGGCTGGCCTACCTGGAAGTCGGTGATTAACTCCTTCCCCAGGTTACCAATGGGAGAGTCTCGAGACATGGATGTCATTGTGGATAGGAAACTGGAAGACTCTGTAAGATGGGGAAGAGGGGAGAGGTCCTCCATCTGCTCCTTAAGGCCCTCCCCAATGTGATCAACCTTCTCCAGGAAGGTCTGCAGCTCCTTCCTGAAAGCTTTCATCCTGGAGTTGATGGTGTCCAGAAGCTCTGGTTCGTGCTTATCTTCTCCCCTTTCCTCACCACTTTTGAAATCCTGCTCGGGTGATGGGCTGCTGGTTACGTGTACCTTTGCATCATAAATCAAGCTGTCTGTATCAGTGATAAGGCGGTCCACGGTCCTCTCGAGCCGCTCAGCCTCACGTTTGATGTTGATTAAAGACTCCGTGTCCTCTTTCACTCTCATGAGCTCGGTAGAGCACAGGTCACTGACTTCTGACGGCTTCCCACTCCCAAAACCTGACGTCTTCTCATAGACTTCTTCAGAGTCGCTCTCACCCCCAATGGGCCCCTCTCTCTTTGGCTGGGGTGGGCGACCTTCTTCGCTGTCACTTTCCTTCTTCCCAGCATCACTGTCAGCATCACTGTCCCTAGGGCTGGAAGTGCGCAGTCCCAGATGAGAGGCAAGATCGTAACGCTGGACATTGGACATCAGGACCCTGTTCTCATACTGGAGCTTCATCACTTTCCCACTCAGCTCATTGATTTGCAACCTGGCTGACTTCAGCTCCTCTTGCAAGGTGCCGCCGCACTTGGACGCTGCGTCATCCAACCAGCCCGGCTCCTGGCCTGGCTCAAACTTGAATTTGTTCAGCTCGTTCGTTAGCTGCTTGTTGTGATCCTCGATTTCAGAGATCGATCGCCTCAGCAGTTCGGCTTCCTCTTCCACAAACTGCAGGTGCCGGCGCAGCTCCGTGGCTGACTCCACAGAGTCACCACCATAGGGCGAGGTAGGAATGCTTGAAATGTGGTCCCTGCTGAGACACTCTTTTTCGTACTGGCACCTCATATCCTCCATCTCAGCTTTAATCCCCCTGTTCTCCACCTCCAGTTCCACTATTTTTCTGCCCAGTATGTTGGCTTCCTCCTCCACCAGCTTCAAACGAAGCTTCAGCTCGGCCTCCCTGGTGCTGGGTGGGCCCCCTGCCTCCCCCGTAGGGAGGGGACTGTCCACGTCTCCATAGATGGACTTGTACTTCTGGAGCTCCTGCTCCAGTTCATCCTTCTCCCTCCCCAGTTTGGCCATCTTCTTACGCATCAGCGCTGCCTCCTCTTTGGCAAACTGGAGCTGGCACTTCAAATCAGCACTGTCCTCCTGCCAAGAATAATCACCCCACCCAGGATTTTATTAGAAGCACAATCAGTTGCTTACCTTCCAAAGTCTCCACCTCCCCACCCTCTGAGCTGTATCTGTTAGATATGCAAACAATACACAGACAGAGCTGCGCAAACCACACAGTTGACACATTTCATAGCTTGGTCCTGGTTAAATTGGCAAAGCAGCTTGACCAGAGTTAAAGAGGGGAAAAAAAAAAAAATAGAAAATCAGTGAGCTAGTGCAAGTGTTCAGTGATGCGAGAGTGCCAGCACAATGCTTAGTTTTTCTCAAATACTGAGCAAATTTTGTGGAAAATAAGAATGAGTCAAAAGAAAAGGTGCCATGATTTGTTGGTGCTTTCCAACACTGGCATTCGCTTATGTTTAATGATACACTTGCTGCCTTTCAGCATCACAAAACAAAGACTTCTCAGTTGAATTTGCTCATCATAATCCCAAATCTCTGTCTTCTTCAGCTAGAAAGCACAGAAAAAAATGTGTGCTAAAATGCATGGTTGCCTTGCAAAGTGAAGACTTCAATTACTGGATCTCACAGTGCTGTGAACTAGCTGGAGTGCCTAACTTGCTTTCCAAACAGGAAGCACTGCTGTTGTCTCTGCTGCTGTTATTATTAGGATAGACCAGAGTGTTTCTGGTATGGACAACTCTTCACAAGGGAGATTGTTGAAAACATGAGGAAAACCTAAGTGAAAAATTAATTAAACCATAGTTACATCCAAATCCATCCCATGTGAAAACCTGTGCTTTTCAAGAAGCAGCAGGGTATTAAATGAGAATTTGATTTTGTTTGTGTGTGTTGAGCACTTTAAAGCAGGGCATCTCAACTCAGATGAAAACTCCAGTGTGTATTGTGCTGAAATAAGAGACAAGGTTAAGTAAATTCTAAGCCGATGAACAATTTCTTTGCATGAATTACTTTCATGAATTGTCATGGAGATACGGGCACTTGGCCTCATAAGAGACACATTTATCAGCATTAGCAGTGTAATGGAAGGCTGGCTTTGAAACATGATCTCTTGAGACAGCAGATTTCATCATTGTTGGTAGGCCATGTGGACATATGTGCAATTATCTATGGAAACTTCAATTCAGTCTCCGGAGCACAGTTATCTTTCACAAGCACCATTTTGTTATAATTCCTAACAATGGCAACCCAATCCAGAAGAAAACATCACTGACTTTAATTGTTCACCCAGATCAGGCTATTACAAAAATAAAAAGATTTACAAAACTAATTATGGCTCAGCAATCTGAAGAAATGATGTACTTTCTAAAGCACACATCCTTGCACATTAGTAATGGTGTCTTTTATGTTACCTAGATTAATTTTGCCCCATTCTATTCAGATATATGCTAATTATGTCTTAATTTCAGCTATTAATAACTAAACAGCCACAAAATTAATTGGTTTTGTACTTCTGAACCCGGTCAGCTTTCTTACTGATTCTGCTTGGCACAGGCTGGAACTCTAAAATCCTAAATAATAAAAAAATTATCTTAAATGTTGATAGCGGTAGAGGTAAACAATAGCCAAAGTTTCTGTTAATATGTGGTTTTCAGTGATAATCAGGAGTCAAACACAACTGCCGTTGTGTCAGTTGGCTGATTAAAACTCTGGTCATGGTGTTTCTGGCACCAGAGTTTCTATGAATACCACTGAGCTGGATATAATTGATTAGAAGCAGAGCTGCTAGAAGAGTGACTTCTCACACACACCCCCCTCTTCTTTCACACTTACATTTGCAAATTACTTTTCTCTTTATAACTCAAAACTGCAAATTAAGCATCAGATTTAAACCTAGCAAAACTCCACCAGCCTCCGCTGGCGTCACTCTGAATTTTGGTTGCTCTGGCTGGATAAGGCTGTATGATTAAAGCATCGCCTTTGGGCAGGGCTGCACAATACATCATTGCCTCTGTTTTTCCCTTCCTCGAGAATCCGTTCATCCCTTCAGCTGTGGGCTTTGCTTTTAGGGAAATACAAAGATCACAAGGAAGGTTACATCTAGACCAGTGCTGGATGTCAGAGCTCCCAGGTGGGCTGATTACTCCAGTTTGTTTATTTATCTGTTAATAGCTTGGAAATAGTCCCATCTGACATTTTCCTTATTCTGTTTCTGTAATCCAGCATTCTTCCCGCTGCTTCTTGTCTGCCCTCAGCTGCAAGTGCCCAGCCATCAGTGGCATTGGCTGGGGCTCACGCCGCCCTGGCTGGGCGATGCCAGGCAGCTGGACCGATGCCAGTGGGGAAGGAAGGACCAGCCTGCCCGCACCTTCTTCCCCTGGCTGGAAGCGCTAGGGGCCAGCTCCTCCCTGGGGGTGACAGGGGAGCTCCAGCATGGCACCCACTGCATTCTAAGCAATATAAATACCAGTCACCAAGTTGCACTCCGGACAACACAGTCAGCATTTTGAAGCCTTTGAAGAAATAGGAAAGGCTTCAATGGGTTTGGGGTCAGGGCCCCAGTGTTTTTGCTCGGCATCACTGCACGACTCAGTGCATCTGCAGAGTTAGTGCATTGTTATAGCAGGACAAAACCACCGTTAACTTCTTATAACAGCACTACCTTATAGCTAGGCTTTGTCTATGAAAAAAAATGATCACATTAGTAAGTTTTGTTTTTCACAGAAGCTGAAACAAGCGAGATTTTTACATTAAACAAACACAAACCTCATACAAAATAAAAGAGCTGATGGTTGCTAATCTCGCCTGCTAAATATGCGTCCCATCTGGAAAGGTGAGAAAGCTCTAGATCTTCCCTGTTCCTGTGCCAGGGAGCATGACTATTGAAAATCCCATGCCCTGGACAGCTTTTTTCCAAAGGAAAAGGATGGTCAGGAGAGATTTATCAGCCAGATCTAAGCATGCCAGAAGGGTAGGGCTCCAACCTTCATGCATCTGTCCCTCTGAAACTTTGTGTACAGAAATATCAGTGATTTCTTGATCAGTTGAAACCAAGCAGAAACAGCAAGAGGGCAGGACACTCACACACGCAAGTAGCGTTTTGACACATAAGGGAAATTAAGGAGAGGGTGAACCACCGAAATTAAGAATAGCTAATTTCATTATTAGTTAAGTCATTAAGGAAGAGAAAGAGAAAAAAAAAAAAAAAAAAAAGGAGAATAGTCTTTCCATCTTTTTGGAGGAACAAGTGGCTCAAATCCCAGGGGCTGAATCTGGGCTATGGTTGCTTGACTGTATTATACATCCAATATGTGGACGCTTTCCTAAAATATGCACATAAGGCAGGCCATATAGAAAGAAAGGAAGGAAAGACAGTGCAAAAACATTCCATCAGTCATGGTGCTCATCACAGGCTTTAAGAGATAATTAAGGATAAATGGGAATTAATGATTACTGATAGTGAGTATCTGCATGCAATAGCACCATGGCTCTGCATGGCGCTTCAGAGGGATGTCAATGGAAAAAAAAACAGAACAAAAACCCCCAGATCCCTTCCTACAGAGTCTGCAGTCTAATTTAGATTTATGTGGAACATGGAGATACAGAAATGAAACTTAAAGGAAAGAAATGAACTTAAATTCATTATGCAATGTAAATGGTGTGATGAGAACAAAGAGCTGATCAAAAATTCCCAAATACGATATTTCTTTTCTGGCAAGAAGACACAAAGATGGATAGAGACCAACACCATCTCCTCCACCACCACCACCGGCTCAAGGGAAGTGCCAGGCAGAAGATGGGTAAGCACTTTTGGGGTTGCAAGTCTGACGACAGGGCAGTACAACCAGCACCCAAGCATCTGGCTGAGTGCCAGCACTCCTACCTTGCGCTGGAGAACCGCTTTTCTTTGTGTTTTGCCTGGTGCCTGGTATTTTCCAAGAAGTTCCGTTTTGCAATTCTGCTGAATAAAAACTTTTTTTCTTCAATGCTGCTAGAGGCGGGTAAGCGCTACTATGAATTCTGCTTTTACATGACTTCAAGACAATCAGTTTCACAGGTATTATTTACTTGGTGTGCCCTGCAGTGGGCATGATGTTCCAGGTAATTTTCATGATGAGGTCCCAGTAAGTAAAAACACCGGTCTTGCCATATGCTATATATATCCGTAAGCATGCAGATGCACAGAATCTGAGTTTGTGGTTGCTTTTCACTCACAAAACATGTAATGGGTACTTGATCTTATTTTAGGTATTTAGGGTGGTTGTCCCTGAAGAGCAGCATTTTTAACCTCCCTGGTTGTGTCTGTAGCAAACCCTTTGGGCCATGCCCCAGGAACCAGCGGCTGTTTGACCAAGTCAGGCACTTGCTGTGGTGCACTCTGCTCTCAACTGGCACATGCCTCTGAAGGGATGCCCAGGAGACAGCTCTGGGCAATACCCTGGAGTCGGGAGAAAGCTAGGACATGCAGCTATAGGCTAGGCAATGTCAATATACATGATTGTTTCTCAGTCTTTCCTACCCTAAAGAACTGCTGAAGAAAACTGAACTGCCACCTTGCACAGTGCTGTCACAATGGTTTTCATTTCAAGGCCAAATCCTTTGCTTACATGAGTTACAAAGTGTACAGTGTAAAGGGTTTTTTTCCCCAGAAGGTTTCCAGGATCACTTCCCCATGTTGTGAGTGGAGCAGAGCTGACCCAGGGATACTCATAATTTTGTGAAGTCCTTTTTAAGGCTTTCCAAGGCAAACTACAACTGCTGCTAATGCCTGGCTTTGGGCAGAGGAAGCAAGTATGAGGAATCCATTCCCTCTGCACTGCTCTGTATTTCCAGGAATGTGGAAAGGAGGGACAGTGCTGCCCACAAACCCCAGCAGACACACATAGCTTCATCTGTAATCTGCATGTGTGCAGGCGCATATATATATATATATATATATTTCACCCATGTATTTCGCATACTTGCAGATTTCACCCATGTATTTTGCATACTTGCAGAAAATTGAACTCTCTGACCTTACTGATAACTTAATTATCCATAGCAGGCACTGCAGGAAGAAAGCCCAGTACCACATTGTAAGGTTTGATTAAGCCGTGCTGGTATCGGCTTATGCTCGGTCTGCTGTGTCCTGGGAAAGCAGGCTGCAGCCCCTGGCCATCATGAGCCCCTGGTCTGCTCACCCTACCCACTCACCTGCCTGCCCTACCCACTCAAGTGCAACATGTTGTAATGATTTATTGATGTTATTATTACAAATCAATGTATTTTAAGAGTCCGACGGCTCAGAGAAGACCTCCAGGGTCTCACTGCACACACTGAGCCCACCGAGGGGAACAGCAGGGGAGGTGCGACGTTTCTATAACGAAGGCACGATGTCGCTCTTGGCTCCTTCTGCAGCAAGGTGAAACACTACCCCCATCTCTCTGGCTATAAGCAGTAACTCTTCTGGTGCTGGGGAAAGCTTTAACTCCTACAGTCAGCACAAAAAGCAAAGGAGACCAGGCAGATCACTTCCCTGAGAAGGATCAGTCTATGGGATTTCAATAAAAACGATGTACAAAGGGAGCCTGGGTGGGTAGCTTAAGGTCTGTGTTGTATCTCAGCCTGGGGGAGCAGGAGTTCATGTGCTTGCCCTCCCGACACCAGAAGGAGATCAAACCAGGGGCTGTGACACGAGAGCTTGCAGGGTGTCGTTGCAGTGCGTCAACCACATTCCCTGCCAAGATGCTCATTAGCACAAAATCCTTGGCACCGCGTATAAATTTAGTTAGTCCCTAAGCCGTGATCCAATTACTCCGTGAGGCAAGGTGATTTTCTCTTCTTGTAGAAAACCCGCAGCCTGAATCTGTGGATACAAGTACAACGAACCCGAGAAGCTGCACCATTTAGAGATCATACTTGTGTCCTAAATTGCTTCTCCATTATCTCTGGGAGGTCTCAGTAGATTAAGGCCTAATTGCACTCCCGTTAATGTGCCTGATGGCACTGTCAACACCCATAAAAAGAAATTTTCAGTTTTATCAGGTGATTTTGCTTAAAACTGAACATTCTTGAAAACCATACCTGAGTAAATGCCTTTTTCTCTTTATGCATTTCTCTGCTGCCTCTTCTCTTCAGGGAAGTCTGCAATAGAAGCAACGCTGAGTTATCCATAAGCTAAACAGAAAGCACGCCAGTTTGTCAGGGCTCACCACCACAAAACTAATTGGGAAGAAAGCAAGGATATTCTCCTGAGCAGCTGGGGATTTAATTTGTTGTATTAATCACTAAAAAACCAAGATGATCAGTGCCTTGTCAGTGGATTTTTCAATGCACAACATTTCCCACCAAAAAAAAAAAAAAGGAATAAAACTAGTTCAAAGTTCACAGAGAGAAACATACCCACCCTCTTCCCTTCTCTGGACCACCACAATTTTTGGCAAAACTTTCTTTTTGCATGGGGCAATGATTTATGCTTGATTAATCCAGGGCAGAAGTCCAAGAATGTTACTCACAGTGGATGTGAAACACATTGTGGAAACCTCAGAGGAAAGCAACCCCCCAAAAATAGGAAAAACACATATTTAAGCAATGTGGAGTAACATTATTGGTTAATCCATGCTAACAAACATGCTGAGGAGCCCAGAGAAAGACCAGGTAATTTCTGCATTGACTTTAGAAATTAGATTTGACTGCCTTTGTGAATCTTTTTTTAAGACACAGAAATGATAGCACTACTGCTTGGTTTTCAGAAACTTCTCAGCACCCAAATGGAAAAGTACAGTTTTACTGAGAAGCAGGAGTTGGAGCACCATCAGGACGTTACCAGTGTTTCTCAAACTTGTGTCTCAGGCTCAAGTTCAAATCGGTGTGAGCTGAGTCTAGTCAGAAAAGACATAAATTTGACTTTTGTAGGCTGAAGTATCAGGGGGGAATGAAAGATTAGGCAAAAAAGAGGGAAGCTGAAAACTACAGAGTTGTTTGAATTCAAAGCTGGCCATATTGCTTTGTCTGTGCCCAGAGCCTCAAGGCTGATACTCCCCAACAATCACCCTGACACTGTGGCTTCTTTTATTTACTACTTCCATTTGTTTTTAATCCATGGGGGACAATTTCCAGCTGAGATGAAGCCTGGTCTGTCACCAGCTTGCCCACATCATACCTCCCCTCTGGCCCATGTGATGGAGCTGCGTGCCCCCAGCTCTGGCTCCTGCGTCCCATGGGCTAAATCCTGGTCTCTGCAACCCACACTAACCCTGTGCTGCAAAACATGAGCCCAGCAGAGAGGAAGGGAAAGGAGGGAGAGGCATCCTGTTAATTAGCTAAATCCAGTCTCGTGCCCGGCTGTCAGAAAACACAACGTGACCGGGGACAGGCGTACACCACATACAAATCCAACCGAAAGCTTTCCATCGGTTTGTGGTTTCTGACTGTTAAACTATGAAGCTACTGCAAATTATAATTATCGCATGCTGTGGTGGGTGGCCCCGGGCGGGAGGCCAGGTGCCCACCGAAGCTGCTGTCACTGCCCTTCTTAGATGGGCAGGGGAGAGAAAAGACAACAAAAAGTTTGTCGATCGAGGTAAGGACAGGGAGGGATCATTCAGCAATTACCGGGACTCACCTTGCCCCCACCCCTCTCTTCTCCCAAGGCTCAACTTTGCTCCCAATTTCTCTACCTCCTCCCCCCAGATGACAACAGGGGGATGGAATGGGGGTTGTGATCAGTTCATCACACGCTGTCACCGCAGTTCTTCATGAACTGCTCCAGCGTGGGTCCCTCCAACAGGGTGCACAGGAGCAGCCTGCTCCAGCCTGGGTCCCCCTGGGGTCACAAGTCCTGCCAGCAAACCTACCCTGCTCCACCCTGGTCTCCTCTCTCCCTTCAGGCATCCCCCTGCTCTGGTGTGGGGTCCTCCCTGGGCTGCAGGTGGGTTTCTGCTCCCCTGTGACCCTCCATGGCTGCAGGGGCACAGCCGGCCTCACCATGGGCTGCACCACGGGCCCCCAGGGCCCCCGGGGAATATGCTCTGGCACCTGGAGCACCTCCCACCCCTCCTTTTCCACTGACCTGAGTGTCTGCAGGGGTGTTTCTTTCACATCGCTCTCTGCTGCAACTTTTTCTTCTCTTCATTTTTTCCCCCCTTCTCAAACACGTTGTCCCAGAGGTGCTACCGCCACCACTGATGGGCTCGGCCTTGGCCAGCGGTGGGTCCATCTTGGAGCCGGCTGGCACTGGCTCTGTCAGACATGGGCAAGGCTTCGAGCAGCTTAGAAGCCACCTCCTGGAGCACCTCCCACCCCTCCTTTTCCACTGACCTGAGTGTCTGCAGGGGTGTTTCTTTCACATCGCTCTCTGCTGCAACTTTTTCTTCTCTTCATTTTTTCCCCCCTTCTCAAACACGTTGTCCCAGAGGTGCTACCGCCACCACTGATGGGCTCGGCCTTGGCCAGCGGTGGGTCCATCTTGGAGCCGGCTGGCACTGGCTCTGTCAGACATGGGCAAGGCTTCGAGCAGCTTATCACAGAAGCCACCTCTGTAGCCCCCCTGCTACCAAAACCTTGCCATGCAAACCCAATACACATACTAAGACAAATCTCTCCTTCTGCTCTTTGTTATACACAGTTAAGTAGTTAAAACCTTTTCATACACGGCACCATATGCCCATGACATACTAGAGTGTATTTTTGCTAATCTGCTCTCTACTTTAATCCAGTGATTTCCTATAACTAATGAAGCTGAGTAAGAGAAATGTTTGGGGTTTGTTTTTTTTTTTTTTTTTCTGGATACTGAAACAGTTTAATGAAAAAAGACTTTAAACACTAAAAATATCATATGAAAACCTGTTACACAAGCTTAGCCAGGATAAACAGTTTTCTCTCTTTTTTTTTTTTTTTCCTTTTTAATGTGGTGTTATTCTGGAAGCAGATATGTAACTGAAAGCAGTCACCAGTCAGCAGCATCATGCCCTGGCATGCAAGATGGGTCACTGTGGTTGAAGAGAGAGATATGGGGCATAGCCCTGGTCCTCGAACTCACTGCTTTTCTGCGTGCCTTCAAGCAAGAGTAGCTTGGTTACTGCATTTAAGCCCTCAGAGTCAGTGATGAGTCTACCAATTCTTGTGGAGGCCTTAATGCACGATTGTAGCAAGCAACTACCAGTAATACTAGAAATGAAAGACCTTGTGTCAAATCCTAGAAGCCTCTTCTCTTACCTATAGGCAAAAGGTTACACTTAGACACATCCACCTTGAGGAGCTAGGGGATATAAACACATGGGCCACAGTGTGCAAGAGAAAGTAATAAAGCCTTTGCTTTGTTATACAGGATAATAACTTGGCAAATAAGGGGAGAGGAATAGAAATGTAGACGACATGGATCACAGGCCAAGAAACAGGTAGGTAGCGACTGGGCTTTGGAAACTCACAGAAAAAATGGATTTCATAGATCCAGAGTAACAAACCTGTAACATTTTGCCTTAGAGAGGGCCTTGTTTTAAACATTTCCACACTGTCCTATTTGGATTTGCATAAGAGCAACCTTCTGATCAGTGCTCAGCTGGGAGATTGCTTTGTATTTCCATACGGCAGAAACTCAGCCTTAGGCAGAGTCTGTCCCCGGTGTAAGAAAAAGAATGAGATAGTTACTTCTTGGGGCTACCAGTGGATTACAGGGAGAAACTTCTCTCCCATGTGTCAGTGGAGAACTAGAAACACAGGCATGGCAACAAGCGACTGCCTGGCCAACGCTCCCTAAACCCCATATGAGAGCAAGGGAAGATGCTCATTTCACCACTGTGGGACCAGGCTGCCAAATAAATTATCTGGTGTTTTAAAAGTTAAACTTCCCAAAAGATTACCCGATGCAGCAAGTACAGTAGTAACAGCAGGAAGAGACATGATTATTTTCACTTTCCCTAGGAGCCTAGCATAGCCAGGAAGAGATCATTTGTGTCTTTCAGTGAATTCCTTTTTTGACAAGTCTGAGAAGAGTCCTGCAAACACAGCAGTGAGAGCGAGACTACCCGTGGAGGCAACAGTAAGCAGGAGTGAATGCACTGGCATTAGAGGTTGGGCAAGACATGGAAATAAAGTACGAGTTAAGAGCAATCATACATGTAAACTCATGATATGCCCCAAGTTTTCATACTGAGACAAGTGCTGGGTAGGATGAGAATAGAGCTGTGAACAGGCGAGTAGAGGAGGACTTGGAAAAGAAGAAGAGAGAACCGAGAGTCCCTAAGAGCTGCCAGCCTGTCACTTTATTCACTGCTATTAAGAGGAGCAAGTCATTTTGGGTGCAGTCTGGCATCTGCAGGCAAGCGTGGGCTTACTATCATATGATCAAACTGAACCTGCAAATTCAAGTAGTCAGCCATTGAAGTGACAATGTCTGCAACTTAAAAACAGAGAGGCGGGCTTGGAAAGTCCAGCCCGGAAGGCAATTTCTATCACTGTGATGTGTGAGGAATTATGCATGAGCATCACTGGGGTTTGTGAGCTGTATAAATAATGCTCAGTGAGCAAGGATGGCTTGCTACCAATTGCTTTGAAATGGATAATCACAATTTTCATTTGCATTCATTAAAAAATACTGCCTGTGAGAGATCTGAACAGCACTTTAAAAAAAAAAAAAAAAGCATGAATGACCAAAACAACTTACTCCAAATACAGCAGTAGCTGAAGCAGGCTGCTTTCAGATTACTGGTATCTGCAAGGCTAACCGTTTCAGAGTTGCACATTGGCATTTCGTAGTAAGAGCTATCTTCTTGCTAGCTGTTGAACCTTCTTATGTTAAGGAATGAACCAAACATCCAGGGAGACATAATCTCTGCCCCACACTATGTGACTGATTCAAAAGTCTTGCCAATGGACCAACTCTTTCATAGCAGTTACGGTCCAAGAAACACCAGTGATTCAAACGAAGGTAATTCTTCTTGGCATGGATGTGAATCAGAAGAAAACCAGATCCACTTGTAACAGATGGTTAGAAGGTGGATTTATCCCCAAGTGATGTAAACCAGCATTCGTTAACTGCATCGCTAATCACTGCTCAGGAACGCATCACTGCAAGCGTTTTCTGGGCACTGTGCAGGACCACATGGGAATATTAT